AGCATTTCATGAGACTAAAGAAAAAGTGGAAGTTAAAGAATCTCACTTGTGAAAACTGAAACTAACCATTATGACCACAGACTGACTACTGAGTTGACAAATGCATGATGTACAGTTACCGTCCATAAATGAGAGTGAAGAGCTTAATGTTAAAGATTCTGATATGCCTTTTAAATGTATTGATGTGATTAAATACAAGTGTTCAACCTGCTCCTGGTCCCTGCATAGACATCTGCAGAGCATAGGCGATCTGTTCATCCTCTGTCATGCGACTGAAGTCTGGTAGAGCAGGTGTGGATGAGTCTGTTTGTGGAACAGACATCTTCAACAGAGCTTCATCCGACTCTGCAACAGAAAAAGTGATAAAGCGATGTGGTGGGGACACACTCAGGTTGACAGCTACTAAACCTCTTCTGAAGACGTGCAGAAATTTGCTTCTGTGATAGTATATTAAGTGGGAGGTTTCTTTTTCTCACCATCTGCGGCAGGGGAGGAAACGCCAGCATCTGCAGCTGATGCAACAGCCACTCTGCGAGCTTCATCTTCCTGTCGTTGTCTCTGCTCCTCCATGGACACCCTGAGAGCCTAGAAGGGACAGGAAGAATTCAGTAAGAAGGCATAACAACAGAGCTGCATTACTCTAAATATTAAAAAAACAGCAGGTAGCAGCAGTAGAAGAAAAATATATGATGACTAAAAACAACAGTGAACAGAAAATGAGGTGTAGAAGGTAATTGTGACAAATAAAACCAATGTGGGTGGAGTATTCTGTTTTTTTTTTTTTAGAAAAGTAGTGATTTAAATTTACAATAAAACCCACACATAAGCCAGTGAACTATTGAGGACTCTTTCTTCCTCTCTCTTACCAAAGCCAGCTCTGGGTCAGCACTTGGATCCACTCCAAACTCAAAGTCACTGGCACCTAGACCCAACACTGCACCTCCTTCTCCAGCGAGGATTGGCGAGGACAGCAGGGCGTCAGCCAGACTGGGGCCTGGAGGCACAGTGACCAGGTGGGAGCCTGCACCCTCTTTGCCATTCATTGTGTTAATGAAGGCTGTGAGCTTCTCTGTGTTCATCTCCTGCAGGAGTGAGGAAGATTAAAGTTCAGTGAGCAGACCAGAAAAACACACTGGAAAGTCAAGAAAGTGTGTATATCTTTGATATATATATATTCACCTCCTCTCCAAAGTTAATGATATCCACATTGACCTTTTCCTTCTTTAGACGCTTAGCCATTTTGACCAGCTGCAAGAAAATACATTCAGCAGACACATAAACAAAATGTATTGTCAAGGACATAAACATCTTTGATGAAAACAAAAATGAAAAACATGTCTGAATAATTCCATGACAGATGGCTCATTTCATTTCATTTTTGATTCATTTGCTCATTTCAGTGTATGGTTTCAACACAATAATACATAACAAAAAATATTTTCTCATAATTCTGAAACACTGTTCATGAGCAAACAGGAGCAGGAAGAAGAAAACTTATAATACCTGCCCCTTTCCTAATAACAAAAGATACTGAGATAAGATAGCTAACCTGTTGTTTTCTCTTTCTTTCACAAAACAAAAAATAGATCAACAATATAGAAACAATCAAATACAATCAGTTAGATCAACTCAATACATTCATAATTTCCCAGAACCATTTCTTTTTACATTCTTTTAAATTGAATGATACTTGAGCAGCATTTTAAATGATTATTGAGAGAATTCCATAATTTAACTCCATTTACTGAGATACACATTTGTTTTAATGTAGTGCATGCAAATGGACTTTTAAAATTAAATCTCCGTCTATGATCCTCCTCATTAGCTGTAAACACAAACAACTTCTGTACATTTTTGGGTAATGATTATTTCTAGCTTTAGACATGACTAATAATGTTTTCAAGTGAACTAGATCCTGAAATTTCAACACGTGAGCTTATAAACAGTCTGTTAGTATGTTCTCTCACGTTCACTTTGTTTATAAGTCTGATCGCTCCTTTCTGTGACACAAACAAAGGTTTAGTGTTGGTCACATACCTCATTGCAATAAGTGAAATATGGAAGAAAAGCGAACAGTACAACATATGGAGAGAAGCAGAATCCAAACTTTCCTTTGCTCTGTACAAAACACCAATACATTGACACAATTTTCTCTTTACATATTCTGTGAGGTTTCCACGTCAGTTTCTCATCACTTATGACTCCCAAAAATGTTGCTTCAGAAACTCTTTTAATGAGAACACCGTTTACAGACATGCTGATGTGTTCCTCCTTTTTTCTATTTCCAAAAATCATAAATTTAGTTTTAATCCAGTTAAACGATAATTTATTTTCACCAAACCACAATTTCAGTTCATCCATTTCACACACTATAGTCTCTGTAACTGACTAGACAAGAAAATTCACTAAGTATGCTGAATAGTACTGCTGATTCAGCTTGTTTTTAATCAGTCCATTTCTCAAACCTGTAGATTTCCTCAATTTCACTAGATAATCCACATAATCTATATATCGAGAAAAGAGACTTGTTTTTACATCTATATTGCAGTCATGCATTTCTTTAAATAGATATAGTTAAGAATGTGCTGAACAAAAAGCTTCATCAGGGTGCAAACAATCAATTCAACAGATTCTTTGTATCTGATATCATTCTAGGTCTACTCTATGAATCTCAATGAATCTCTATGAATATCAAGTAATTGTCTGGAAACAAAATAACCACAAATATAATGCAGAACAGACAGACTTATCCCACAATTTAACTCACTTCTTTTTCATTGTCCTCCACTGGGCTGCCAACAAATGCAATAATGCGCAATTTGTGGTTCTTGCCCTGTCTGTGCTTCAGCGCCAACTACAGTGAGAAACACAAGAAAGAAAGAAAAATTAGCAAATTAAGTGCCAATACATTTCTGTGACAAATAGAAAAATAGATATTTTCTAAACAGATATTTAGTAATATCACCAGTTTCTCTTTTTATCACAAGTTTAAATATCTGTTGTAAAAACCTCCCTATAGTTTATATTATGCTTGCCCTGAGTTTATCCTTAATATTTAGAGGTGCACTCAGAGTTAAGATAATCTAAATGTTGGACCTTTTTAAGTAAAGGCTATTTATCTTTGATTTTAATTTACACTCCATGCCCCCCATGTCTCAAAATGTGCCTTTCCACACCAATTTGTTCCCTGTTATAAAAGCTGAGAGGACCAACTATGTAAGAGTCACATACTCACATGTGCTACCCTGATGCCGGTGCAGAAGCTGATGTTTCCTCGAGGTTGCACAGCATGCAGCTTCGACAGTATCCTGCCCGTGTCTGGAGTCAGTGTTGTCAGCACTTCACAGTTGCTTCATCGAGACACAAGACAAGTGTTGTTATTTTTATACACAACAAATAGTTAGTTAATTTAACAGAGCATACCGTCTCTTACTTTGCCATGGTGATGAGGCCCACATTGTTTTCAGGGTTGCTGCGTGTCTTGGAGTGACAAACAATATTAACTGCGTCCTGCTGAGCCTGCAGCCTGGTGGGCAGAAAGTCTCCATTGCGCATGTATTCACTGTTGTCCACACTTCAAGACAGAAGAGCAGTTTTGGTTATGATCACTCATTTGGGCTGACAGATTACATTACTGTGATAGGTCAACATCAACAATAGGAAAATATGTATGGGTGTGCCTATGTATGTTACACATTCATGTAATGTATTAATGTGTGTAAACCTTTACATAATCAAAAGGGGTTGACAGCGACACTGAAGCAATTAATAAGTCAAAGAAAGACTGATCACAGTTTTGGTAAATGATGAATCTCAAGAGAACTTTATCATCTCAAAAGAGAGGATTGGATTTGATATTAAACAACATAAACACGTCAGTTTTTGGTAAATTAACAAAAGATAAATTAAATAAGCAAAATATTACAACGTTTTACACGTGATCTTGTTTAAACTGGTTTAATGAGTTTCATGTTTCAGATACAGAAGTAGGTTTGGTTTGGTTTTGTTGGCTAGCTAATGCTAACGCGTCAATAAAAAGCCAATTTTAGTCCTCTTGGAGCAAAGTCTAGACTTTACTTTAAATAACGTATGGTCGTGATTTTACATCAATTATTGTTAATAAACATTTTACAAGATTAAAGGACATAATATGACCAAAAGTATCGTTGTTATGTGCAGGAAGCGCTGGCTTGCTAACTGCAGCTAGGTTGTGGAGTGACTCAGGGAATAGCGAGAGCATCTTAACCATTAAACAAAGAAATGATACTTTGACAAATGTTACAGCCAGCCAAATCAAAACATGGGCATTTCGCTAATTGAATTGTAGCTTATTTTGAATAAAATAAAGTCTCTACGTTCTTAACTTAAAACAAATTTCTAATTCCTTACCAGACCATAGTACTTTCAAGCACCATCTTGACGTCTGAGGTTCACTACGTCACCGTGAGGACTTATGGGTAATGTTGTTTGTTACATATTACATACACATTGCTGCTTTAAGGAACAAGAAAATAAATGATTTTTTACCACCTATGGTTACTACTGGTGGAATACAATCCGCTCCAATCGTAATATTAAAACCAAACTAATGCAAAAATACGATATTATCATTTAATGTTACCTTGCTTGCTTTCATTTAAATATGTTTTTATAAAAAGAAGCTTGGGTAGAAGCAGTGTCTTAGTGGGTCAGCCACCCCATCGACTATACTGGGGTGCGTTGCATGCCAAGATTTCACGGTGAAATAATAGGACACGTTGAATGGGGCACTACCAAGTATGGAAAAACAAAAACATTTAATACAGTACCATCAAAAAGTTGTCTATTTCTAGTAGGGCAAAAAAAAAAAAAAAATAGTCATGCACGTTGATCGTCTGGAAATGTTTGCCATTTATACCCAAATAGATCCCCCTGCTACATCACGTGTTCTACTAATCAATTATTTTGATAATATAGTGGAAATAGTCCATAATCCAATGTGATGACAGCAAATCAATATAATGTCTCTGAAATAAAAGCAGTCCAGACAACCTGAAACCTGAGTAGGCCTGTATTCCTCCCAACAAGCCGACAGCCAAGTTACAAGGTAAACAAAATTCTGTTAATCTAGAATTTGTTATATTTGAATATTTGCACCAGATCTCTTTTAATGTTATTTTTGTCATTTTGTGTAAATGTACCTTTTAGAATAAACAAGGAATTTTAAAAGCCTGTACATATACTGTACATTTATAAATGATATCTTCAAAAGTTATCTATCCCCTAATATTTATATTAATTATGCTTACACAAGACACTTTGGACTTTCCTGGTTTTGAACTTCAGGTTATATGCTTGATAAGATTTTCGTCATCTTAGTATTTGAAATGTGTGTAATGAAAATGAAGATAAATCTGATTTTGTTTGTTTGTTTGTAGGAATTCTTTTTCTTATCTGCATTGGAAAAACAAAAAAAAGACATTTGTTTGTCCTTTGTAAGAGTAATGTAAAAAAATGTCACAAAACTGCTTGTGATGCAATAAAAACCAAGCAGAAAAGATGATACTATTTCACTTTGAATCACTCCATCTTCTTTTTTAAAACAATCTCAGATGAAGACAGTCGTACTGCTGATGGTGATGTTTGCAACATGTTTTGCAACACCCCAAGGTATTTCAAACTTAATACACCAGATTGTGTTAACATTGTAACATTAAAAAGATAAGGATGCATTGCTTCTGTTTGTTTTTAATAACAGGATTTCATATCTTGTAGTGTTTTTTGCTCACTGTTCTCTTGTAAAAAGTATGCTGATTTAGTTTCTCTTGTGCAGATCTATCAGGCAAAGTTCTCGTGTTCCCGAGAGAGACTAGCACAGATCACGTGAAACTTTTGACCTCAAAAACCAAGTTTGACTCTGTGACTGTCTGTTTCAGGTAACTAACTGGCAGTGCCATCAGATGGCCTTTTTTATGATTGGAAATATTGCTTATCCCAGTTTCTAACAGCTGACACATCTGTTCAGATTCATCACCGATCTCTCCAGGAACTACGGTCTCTTCTCCTTGGCCACACCATCGTTCAGCAATGACTTTGTCCTCTTTAAGATCAATTCAAAAGGCGACATCAGAATGCATGCTCTGGACGGAGGCACGGACTTCCTGTCTCTGTCATTCCCGCCAAACACCTGGCACTCTATATGCTCCACCTGGCGCTCTGACAACGGCCTGGCTCAGCTGTGGGTGGACGGAAAGCAAACCATCAAGAGGTTCATCAAAACCGGGCCAATCACGGGAGCTCCCATTACCATCCTTGGGCAAGAGCAAGACTCCTACGGCGGAGGTTTTGATGCAAGTCAGTCTTTCCTTGGTATGATTACTAAACTCCATATGTGGAACTATGTACTGTCCAATGCTGAGATCAAACGCTATGTGGCGGATGCACAGTTCACCCCAGGAAATGTGTTCAATTGGAGATCCCTGGAGTTGGAAATATCAGGGGATATTTTTGTGGAAGAAGAAAGGGAAGTTATGTAACACAGTTATTGAATCACAAATCATTTGTTGCAGGTTGCACTATCAAGCACTTGATATGTTTTCTACAGATGATTACAATGTCTTCAGACCCTTGAGTGTTCACTTCTGTGAAAATACACCATTACAAACAATGAACATAAAACACATAAAGAAGCCAAAACTACGATTTAGAAAATATGTTTAATCCTTTAAAATAAGACATGAAAACATCACCACCACATAACTGAAACATGGCAGGAGGGACAGGCAGCACATATTGCATGAGAAGGCATTTCCGTGACTCCTATGTACATATACACATTTTATACACCGTAAAAATATAGTAATTGGAGCATATAGGATAACCAGCAATGTTGGCTTGTAAGCCGTGTGAAACATTCATGTAGAAAAAAGCGTGGGAGATTAACAACCCAGAATCGTCATGGAGAAAATCTACTGTATCATATCACAATCTAAACATGAAATATAAAATGCGAAGTTGTCAAATAGTCCCCCTTCATGGGCAACTCGCGCTATAAAGTTTCAGACATCCTTCTGTCAGTATACAGATTGTGTACTATCAGCTATAGTAAATAATACGACTTGTATTATTTCAGTCTGCAGCAATCAACAATGTTAATAAATATCTTTCTAAGAGCTCAAAGGTTGCAGATTGTGGTTCATATTGCATTACTTCAAATACATTGTAGTGTCTACACGGAGTGTGTCGCCCTTTAAAGCACCGTAGGATGATGATGTTTTTCTTGTGCCATGGTGTAGTACAAAACAACTGCGACAGAACTGGTTTGCATCCAGCAATTACACAGCACCACCCATTCAAAGAAAATGATCGTAATCACACCAAAATCCAGGTGTTACAAATATAATCTTATAGTCGAGAGCATGTTTCTCTGAATGTTTTCTTTGGTGGCTGTTTCACACTCAACCATCAAATGTGTTCAAATAGTCAGTATTTTACATTTCAGCATATACAAGAAATAATTAATATCAAGTTTATACCAAGTTGGTCAATAGTGGGTTCTAAGAGTTTCAATGTTTGTAGTAAATTTTACTTGAATTTCACAGGAATGTGGAGTTTTCATCTTGAAATGTCTCAGGCCACAGTGTAAACCAATTCTCTGATGATGATTCATTAATATTGACCGGGACTAGGTTGATGTCAGACAGCTTATCAGACATGAAATTATTAAAAGGGGGGAAAAAGAAACACAGGACATCCCAGTGTTATTACCATACACAACAATACATGTCAAAGCAGGCGTCCTGGAGTGTCTCATTTCATTGTCACTTGGATCCTGAACTTTTGCAGGAACTTTCTACTTTTCTCTTTGGTGCCACGACTGGCTTCGAATACAAAAAAGGCTCGGTCCTAAATCCTCAACTGTGCATGGATGAACATGAGTGGTTTTCATTCTTTTAAAATTCACAGCTCACATTTCCCCTTCTCCCTCTCTGCTGCACGGACCACATGCGCCTTACAAACATAAACGGCGGTACATTGCACAGTATGAGTTGATGTCTAAGACGTGTAGTTCTGCTACAGTATTTTAAAAAATTACTGTATCAAAATCTCAGACGTTAAATTAAAAAAAGAAGCTTTCTGACAGCCACCTCAGTAACTTGTTTAGTGCCTTTAACAATAAAGATTCACATGCAACAAAAGAAGGCATTTTTTATGAACAGAGGAATAAAAGCTGTTTAAGACTACATTGAAGACAAAGGAAAAATAGTTGTACACACTTGTCAAAAGCGTAACCTTCAGCTTGTGCACACTTGTACACACCAGCTATGTTGGTCCTGGAGTGGATGGTGGCAACTGTCATTTCTGTAGCCAGCAGAAATCCTTTATACGGGACAAAGAATAGTCTAGATTTTTTATGTCAGGGTAGCTGAGCTCTCAAACCACAGAGACTCAATCCATCATCCATACAAAGTCAAATTGTATGTCATACAAATGATCCTTAGTGTCATCTTTAAGTTACATGTATTTTACTCTGAAGTTCAAAAATGGCAGGTCGAGTGTGATAAATTAAGGATTTTTTTTTGTACTATTTATCAAAAGAAAAATAGATTATTTTACAAATAAATGTTTGTAAAAGCTCTGAAAATGAAATTATTACCAAGTTGAAAAAGATAACCTGATTGAATGTAATGGGCCTCTGATATTGGCTCATATGGATCACAAAGTTGAGTACTGTGTTAAATCTTATGGAAATAGCAATGTGACTTTGTGATATCAAAGAGTTTTTTGTACAAAACTTAATATAATACCGCATCATTATGGAACTTATGGTTTACACCTCTTGTGTTTGCATACAATCTGAAATGATTTGAAAAGTCTGACCCCTGGATGGTTGTTCCAGACATATAGATGGCAGTTTGTTGACTGCAGCTGTAGTGATAAGGCAGGTTTCTCTTTCAAACTAAAACACCGACCTTTTAAAAAAATACAATCAGTTATATGTAACGTGTTAGGGAAGGGACTGACATGTAAGGCACGGACAAATGTCAGAAGCTGAACATTATACATTAGCTGAACAGGCAGAATTCATACATGGCCAGCACTGCTCCTCTCCTTGTGTTCATTCATAGAGTTGAGCACATATGGTCACATCAGAGGGGGAGATTTTTCAGGGGTTGTACAAATGTGGTCTGTTGACTGCCGTGTTAACAATAAGACACATTCTGTATATGAAAGACAACGTAATGTACATTCAGCGGTTGCCAGATCTAGCCCGAGCTCTGTAGCACCGCTGTGACCTCCAGCTGAATAACTTAGGACACACACATGAAATAAAAAGGACCATACAGGCGTTTCAACCCATCCTTCTGCTGTTTCAGACTAAATACTGTACATCCACAATCAGCCCCACAAAAAAAAAAAAAAAGTATTCATGATTGCAGAGTTGACAGCAGCACGTGTTGATTTGAAAAACGAGCCCTGCTAACTCGGAGTACTCCTGGCCATGAGGAGTGCTGACTGGAAATGGATGTGTGGTCACAGAAACACTAGAGTGAACCCACTTAGGCTGTGCATGAACACTCTGGGAAATATTCACGTCTACTACTAAGACAGGCTTTTCCCTTCATGTGCTCGTGTGTGTGTTCCTGCTTTATCACTCCATACTGCGAAAAAAAAAGGATGACCGACATTCCATGGAGAATTTGACCGCCTTCACCATTCACTGGTGAATGAAGCTTTGTGTACAATACACTATTCATGTTTTTGTCTGTGATGTCATCGCAGCATCCTTCATGTTGTTCACATATGTCTTAAATGTTTTGATGCTAGAGCTACTAAAGAGCTGCCAATTCAGAGCTGCGAGCCCTTTTCAGGTCATGTATCAAAACAATTGGGCGTTAGGTCATTGGGGGGTAAATGTGTGCGCACAGTGACAGTGTTAACAGCCAGGGCCTACCACACACTGTTCTTCATTGTCAGAACCTCTACTGCAACTCGCTGCCTCGTCCAGACATCCCTGTATTTACTTTACGGGTGAGAGAACAACAGAGGTGCAGCGGAGGGTCCGTGTTGGATGGGCGTCCTTACTTCCGTCCATCTCATCTACGTCCACATCTTTGCCTTGCCATGGCACTGCGTCTTTTTTTTTTTTTTTTTACTATGAAAATGAAACAAGAGTCAGCTTTAAAATGGTTTCATGAATACACTGGGTGTTTTAAGGAGGTGTGCAAAATAAGAATTCTTACAAAACAGATGTTGGTCTCAGGGATGATGTCTGAGAGTGAAACTACGTCTTCATTTCCGGACAGGTTGCCTGAATTATCTGCGGCACCTTCGGCCCCAAAACTGAGGAGAAAAAAAAAGTAAATAAGACAGGGTTACTGACACAAGCAAGATCAAATCAAAAAAATATATTTACTTTATAACCTAATGAGGCTTTAGTTGTTATTGTCTTCTGTACCTGTGAGAAGAACCCTGGTCAAGGTCTGTGTTTGCTGATTTGTGCACTTCCACCCCAACAGACCTGTAGAGAAAAATAAGATTCAGTAAAGAAAATAAAAAGTATATAAAAAGTTGAGTGAGTAAAGTGAGATGGTTGATTTAAAGTCATGTTTATTGTTACCGTAGGGGAGGGGAGCCGGTGGCAACTCCTGCGCTGCCTAATGATGAGGTGGACAGGTTGGCCTCACAGTCAGCAGCATTTTCTACCAGCGGAGGGGTCCTTGGAACCAGATCTGGTCTGCCCGACGGCACCCCTAAAAGCCCACAAGAAAAAACCCCAAACAGAATCACTTCCTATTCAGCCCCCAGTGTTTCCAATCTCAGAGTGTCATTGTGGTTTAAGCTGTATTAATGTGTATGTTGTTATGACTCAGTTCTTACCGCTGTCTGTTTCGGAGTCTGTGCTTTTAAAGTGGCTGTGGTAGACTAGTCTGGAGTCCATGTATGACTGTCCTGTTGCGTGGGAGAGTGGAGTAGGACCTCCAAGGGTGGGGGCTCTCCTAAGACCCCCCTGACCTCCACCACGACTCTTCTTAGATGGTGATGGTTTGACTAAAGGTAACAACAGTGGAAAAGTTGAATAAAGATTGGGAGGACTTTTTTTTGCCTTTGGGAATTTTATTAACCATTGAAAAATACACTTGCTTGATTACTTACGTGGAATTTTCTTGAACACTGTGTTGCACATGAACTGCTGGAAACGGTCTGCATAGAAGCCAGGTCTGTGAACTGAAACTGTGTCCTGATAGAGGAAAGAACCAGGGCCGTTAAAAGCTGACACAATCTACATTCCTCATGACTATATCCACTTAAACCGTCTCACAGAAAATGTAGAATTATTTAATTTTAACATATTATGTTTCTTATTGATTGATTTTCTAGTTCCATTCATGCCAATAGTCAAGTTAAAGATAGAGTCAGGAACTTTTCATAAAAAATTAAATATAGACCAACACAAAAGTAATGCCGCTCAATCAACACTTATAGGCCTCCATACATGTGTGGTGGTGACTGTAGACCTTCTCTTCTGCCTGTAATTTGATGTTTTGTTTTGTTTGATGCACAATGTTTCTGTTTGGGGCGTTGGTGTGTGTCCCCCAGTCCATGACAGCACGCAGGTGAGTTTAGGACTGGATACAATTCAGGGATTGGACGTAGCAGCAAAGAAGAGAAAATATATGATCGTTATGAGGCAAAACGCCAAGCAGATAAAGCTTGTTCCGAATAGAGGATGAACTTCGAGTTGGCTTTAACCCCGCGGACATGGAGTTGGTCTGATTTCAAGTCGACAGACACCGGTGGTTGGCTTGTACTAACTTGCAGTGCAGTTACAGTACAAATACACACCACATCCTGCAGTGAGTCTGTGTTTCTGGTTACATGAGCTCCATGAGCCCAGGAGGAGGGGGCCAGTTTAAATGTTGTGTTTACAAGCTGCAACGATCAATGCTACTGACTCCACCATTAACTAGTGAAACATGCCCCTCTCAAAGGTGCTTGGGTCAAAGGTGATGTATTTAGACGAGTCAGAAACTCAAAGATATTTTGTTGACAAACATCGAAGACAAAGGATCCCCACCGTGGAAAACTACATTTACTTTTCCACTGTTTTGCTTGATATTAAATAATAATAAGAGAGCTTTAAGACATTTTGTCCATTATGTGTCTGCCTATTGTTTTATTAGATCACCGACTGATGGAAACCGTTTTACTCAGTTTCAGTGCTTTACAATACCTGCCCTGTTTATCTTTTTAGAATATCTTGACTGCAGGCTCTTACCCCGTCATGAACCAAGGCCTTCCAGGAGTGCTCCAACTTCTTAATAAACCTGAATAAATAATAAGACATAAAGAAATGTAAAAGGTTAACGTTAAAGAGGAAGGTCGCTCATGATTAAGAATGACTGTTTCTTTAAACTGAGACACAAACCTGTAGGACTGGAGAATGTCAATGATACCAATGTAGATAAGTAATCTTTCTCCTTTAGTATTACGAGATGGAATACCACCCATGCTGAAAGTACAGATAAAGAATGTTTCAAAAAATTACATGTTCATGTCGCAATTACACAAGAAAACTACAAATTCAGCTCCACTCCTTGCTAGCCAAGTGTTAAGACTTACTGGTCTTCAGAATCCAAAGCCCCCTTCCCCCGAGCCTCCCCCTGAATGGACTCCATGGCTGTGCAGTAAAGGCTTTTCTGGGTTTGTGGTCTGCGCTGATCGGGGGTCACTGCTCCCTCTGAACCCCCGCTGTCCCCCGAATTGCCCACACCACGCTCTCGCTCCCGACTTGCCTGGTCCATGTTGTGGATGCCCATCAGCAAACTGTAATCCATGATCTTGAAGCTCTGCAGGAGCTGGATACAAACACAAGAAATGAGTTGATGTGACCCAATAGATGAAGATAATCAAGACCACAGAGAGATTCAGAGGCAGTATTAGAAAGGTTCTTTGTTTTTTTGCTTGATGTGATATTCAAGGAGAGCAACGACCAGAACCTTCACCCTCTGAAACCTGTAGATTTTACCCAACCTGTAACCGCCTAGTGGTGGTTTGATTAAAAGAAGTACAATCTAAATGTTTTTCTTTAGTTCATTTTATATATAGTTAAAACATGTTATATTGAATGTTTTAGTTATAAATTAGATTTGACCATACCATATAAACACAATGTAGCAACAGGTATATGGTGGTAAAATATTTCACATCCTACACAAAAAAAGAATCAAAAAAATTATGATATTCATGATGACAACTCTTCCACTTACCACATTATTGCACAAGTAAGAACAGCCAAGCAGACAGCATCAATTAGCTTGCACAATGGTAGACGCCACACAATCAAAATAACAAATGGACATAGAGTGGTCATGCTTAATGTGAAACCAGAGAAGATAAAACATGGGAGTTGGTCAATTGATTCCTCATACCACTCTGGCGTAAACGTAGGTAGCCTGGAATAGTATAACTGAGACCAAAGCAATTAGAGAGAGGGATTAGTCTCTAACTGAAAGAGAGACTTGATGAATAAATGATGTGTTGTTTATGAGTTGTTTTGCTTCCATAACTGAACCAACACTACACTACTATCAAGGCGTGCTGTGTTTACTGAGATTGGTTAATGCAGTCAGTCTCGATCATCCTTTGAAAAGGGATCTTCCCTCAAAGTAAACAAAGTATCAGCTTGCAGTGTCATGCAAGCTTGAGTCATGTCTTTAAACCTGGACTTGTTGATGATCCTTCAGTGATGGAGCTCCATATTAAACAATTCAAAATCACTTTCTAGCAATCCTTAATAATCTAGTCGGGACATGAATAAAACATTACACATGCTTTAAAACAAACAAAACTAACAACTGATATCCCATAAAAGGTTTGGATTTACATTAGACTTGTCTAGCCCACATAATATAACACATCCAATACATTACTGGTGAAAATGAAACCTCATACTTGCTATCAATCTTTTATTTTGTGATAACTTAAAAGTGACATTAATAAAAAAAACTTTGGACATAAACTGGCTTTGATTTGTTGGGGAATATATTTGTGGGCTCATAATGAAAGTCTTGATGTTCAAAAAATCTGTGAATCTATTTGATTAGAAAAATTCTGAACAAAGTTTGTTTTCTGAAAGGCCACAATGATAACACATCCTGTTCAGGATGAGTCCAGTTTGGTTTAAAAACACAATACTTGAATAAAAATCTGTCAGTGGATGAAAACAATTATCTCTGGGACTCACCAGGCAGTCTCTCTGGATGGTCTTGCACAGGGCATTGTAGTTTTCTGCTTCCAGCAGCAGGCCGTCAGGCAGGTCCTGGATAAAGTCCAGGTCTTTGTGAATTGGAACCGCCTTTTCTCTCTCCTTAAGGGAAGCTCGTCTTTTATACGTGGAGCCCTTCAGGTCGTATTTGAGGTGCATGGGGATGATCCGAGGCAGGAGATTATTCATCACTACAATACGGATATTCTTGCCCCCTGCCTGAACGCAATAGAGTCCATAGAACTTGGGTAGCAGGGTGCGTTTGTTTTGGTTTATATTCTGGTGGAAAGGGAAGATAACAGATTAGAAATCTGAAAAAGAAAGTATGAGATCACCACACCATGTAAGCTTTTATCAGGCTCACCATAAAGTAACCAGGCAGAAGTTTTTGGAGGAACTCGGCCTCTTTGTGTTGAACAGTCTTGATGATGAACTCGTCATCGCTTGACACGTAGAAGAGGGATCCACTGGCCCCGGGGTTAGACAGCTCAATCAACGGCTCGTTACACAGAGAGTACTGGAAGAAAAGAGGAGTCTGCATTAGCACTTAGTTGAAAGTAGGGCTGGGCGATAAGCACCAAAAATCTTTCTATTTTTGCTGAAGGATGACACACGATAGATATATATCTATATACCGTAAAATCCGGTATAAAAGACGCACTTTTAATACTTATTTTTTCGTCTTAGAAGTTGGCTGCGTCTTATACACCGGTGCAACCAATATACCAGTATAAAATACTGAAACATGCGCCGCCATTACAGCAGGTGAAGCAGCCCCTATCACTGCGACCTGACATGATTAAAAACACATCCCCATTCATTGTGTATTGAAAGCTGAGTGCATGCTGTGCTGGGAAAGACAACAGACCCAGACCAGGCTGGCTGTGCGACTTTTTTCACATCTTTTCTCCCTTACGAGGGTCATAATCATGCATTTACAGAAAACAGTGGTATATTGTTCTGTAAATAAACCTTGTGGAGCACTCTTTTGATTGAAAGAGTCCTATATTAAAGTTAAAGAGTGACCAGCGGAGTCGGGCAGCGCGACTCGCAAGCTAGGAGTCTGTGTCTCACAACTCTACCTGCAGGCTGAGAGCTCAACTATCGTACTGTAGCTAGTAGGAGTGCAAACTCCCGAAAATGAAAACAGACGGAACTAAAAGAATGACACAGCTGTACAGAAACTGCACGTTGTAGACATCACTTAACACAATATAAATCGTCACGCAGGAAAACAGTTTAAACTTTTTTTTCTCTTTAAGAGACCTTCAAAACAGGGTGCGTCTTTTATACCGGATTTTACGGTAGACATACATACATATATATATAAAAATATACTGCATATATGTTTTTTTTTTTCCTGCAAATAATTATCAATGAAGTCAGTTCTAATCTACATGGCCAATGTCACTGAGGCCCTTTTATCAAATAGCCAGCTGCACAATGTCAACATGACAAAAAAACATAAATAACCATTGGTGAAACAAAGAATAATATTGAATTAAAATGCTCCTGAAATAACTTTTCCTGAATAACAAAATACACACAGCTGTGTATTTTGTTATTCAGGTGATTTTTCTGTTTTGCTCAGAGAGGGAGAGAGGCGGAGCAGGGTGAAGAGGTACAGACAGTGAGAGGAGAAAAAGCTGAACTGGCGGCTCTGCTAGTGGAACTTATAACTTTATTTAACGCAATATAAACTATATCGATACAAACAATACCGTCTGACCCTACATCTCTTTGGAAAATATATTGAAAAATCTTAAACACTTGATTTATTGCCCAGCCCTAATTGAAAGAAGCATGTTTGAAACAAAACATTGTGTTTTTTTTAAATGCTCTTGCAATCAGCTGCTGACAGTTAAGAAGAATCAGGCACCAGGCTATTTCTTCCATGACAATAAGATTGCCAAAACTGTAAAGCTTCAAAATTTAGATGGAGTATAAAATTCCTGGACTAAAGCCCTCAACAGAAGAAACACTACAACATTAGGCTTAGACCGTAACAAGAGCCATTCCTTGTCAATGACAGTTTCTTGACAGTAGAGTGTGTGTGGAGTAAATACTGACCAGGTAGTCGTCTGGACGGATGCCAAAGAGTTCTCTGAAGTAACGGAAGGCAATAGGAGCATAAGTCTTGAAGCGGAAGTCACTGTAGTGATGGGCCGGGGTCAGGTTACTGCCCTCGCTGAAAAATGAGGGAACGACAGAAGAGACAGAAAGAGGATTAAACACCAGATAATAAACAACAACAACAACAAACACCCCACAAATACAACACATTTTGTTCAAATAAGACTTGTGTTACTCACCTTGGGAAGAAGATGCTTTCCACCACCACAAAGTCCTGCATTAGAACATCCCTTTCTGCCTTCTGGCTTAAGCTGCCGACTGTGTGAGCGATGCCCAGCATGATGGCACCTTTTAGGGCAGATGACGTGGTCTAGAGAGGTCAGAGAAGCAAAGATAGTAATTAATGGAACATTTCATTCCTGTGACTTCCTCTGTTTCAGTCACTATTTTTAGGTGTCTAGTGAGAGGAATTCCCAAACTAATTTTAGAATTTAAACACCAAACACCTTTTCACCTCCCAGTTCAGTGCTGTGTGAGTAAAAAAAAAAAAAAAAAAAGCAACAACAACACTGGGGTCCCTGACCACCCAGCACAGCTCCCAACCCCAAAACATGAAGCTAACCTTTTTATAGGTGGTCTCTCCTGTGGTGGTCTCAACGCCCCGGTGTCCGATGGTCTTCTTCATACTCTGCGTGGTGCCTGAGGATCCAGGCATCTGAGGAGAGGGGCCGAGAGAAAGAAATGTGTTTATGCTTGTGAATACAGGAGACAAATAGCTGGCTGTATTTCAGCTTGCAGCTCCATTGGGATAAACATCTTCACATGACAGCCGTATCAAGTCATATCAAACCAGCTGACAAGTTGCTAACCTCTCAGTAAGGGTCAACCTATGAAGCATAGGAAGGGAGTGAGAGCAATATCAGTTTATTTATCCTTGTGTGACAAATACCTAAAAGTGTTACCTTTGTTTAGTACATAACTGCAAGGACTTCATAGTTTTACATTATTTTGTTTTTACTTACAGCCCCAGCCTATTTGATAACTCAGAGGTGGAGGTGTTTCATCTACTTAGTGATACAATAACTGATGTCCTCACCTCTTGAGGGGCCATTTTTCGAATTCCACTGGTCCCTAAAAAGACAAAAGGGAGTTAAAATGGTTTCAAAACGCAACAAGAAAGAAACATATCTCTGAGAAGTTTGAAGAGAACAAAACAAGGTCTCAAGGAATTGCTGGCTCCCTTGTTTGGACTCAACTCCATGACACCTTTGTTGGCAGTCAAGAGTGAATTGGCTGCTTGAAATCATTTTACAGACTTGGAGTTGGCAACCTTAAACATGGAAGAATGTGTTAGAATCTCTCTGCTGGTTAATTAGAAGGACTATTTGGAGTACTGGTTGATGACGATGAGGTTGATGTGGATGTGCAGCAGGCCTAAATGTGGACACAGTTACTGAGTGTCCCCAATACACCAGCTTACTGTGAACTGGAACTACTTCTCCCCTGAGCAGGCTGCTCCAGATTCATCAGGTCCCTGCGGATGGTTTTGCACTCCACACCGCCTCCTTTCAAAAACACAGCCTACTTTGTGTTTCACTTTAACTTTGCTTCCATTTTTCATTTAGTCCAATATGCCTACATAAGAGCCCATTGTGCCATTCAGAAAACTCAACTGATCAGCATAAGAGCCGTGTGTGGTGAAGTAACACATTTTAAAGGTTTGAGTCATAAGCATGCCAAGACCTCTGAATGTATAATGAAATTAAATTGTAATATATGACCCGGACACATGAGTCTGTGCTCCTGGGTTAGCATGATAACAGCAGCTGCACACAGTCGTTTTGTAAAAGGGCACACAGTGATGATAAAATAAAACGCAACCTGGTATTCTGTCTCCTTACATAAACTTGCTGTTTAAACCTACTATCTCACCCACTGTGCAAGAACCTCTAGCCTGTAACCAATGGCAACATGTATCCAATGCTGCAGTGCCTCAGGTCAATATACACAAAAGGATCCTGGGTAGATTGTTCACCTGTAGTAATGATCCTGTGTGTGAGAAATATGCTATGACCAACAGATTCAATCCAGACAGCGAGTGCACACTTCAACCCGAGAAAGAAGGGAGTGCTATTAATAAAGGCAGAACCACTGAATGCCATGCATCTTCTCAGGACACGCACAGCAATCATCCAGGAAACAATGAGCAACATTCTGCCCACATCCCCCTTCTTATGTAAAGCCACACAGTATATCATCACTACTCATGCAGTTTCTGCTCACGCACACGGAAACACTCACGCACACCCATGCGAGTACCTCGCTGTAATGCTCTTCTCCAGAACCGAGTCCTAATATCTGTGGAGCAGGACATGATCAGCCTAACCAGCCTCACTTCCTATATGAGCAACACCGAACATCATTAAAAAAATGTCAAGCGTATTAGGTAAAATAAAAGGTGTTGCATCTACAGCTCAAATGCAATAAGAATATCAGTCAGCAATGATTTTTTACAAACAAATAATCATTTTAGTCGTATTTAAGCTTAAAATAGTGCAAAAGTCCTTGTTTGCTTCTTTTCTTTTTAAAAGTGAAAGTGCAAGAGGGGTTTAGACAAATTGTGGGATATAACAAGAAGAAAAGGATGTCCTGGGCTCTGGGGGGAAAAAAATCAGGCATTGTTTACCTAATTTACACTGTATGGACAAAATGTCAATCATAATTGTCAGATTAATGGCTAATACAAATAAGTGTTAACTGCAGTCTTCATTTCAATCAACACAGTGTATTGTATTTTTTTTTTCTGTGAAGACAGTCTTGGCAGCAGGATGGGGATAAGAAATACTCAACCCTAGCCAATTACTTAACAATGACTTGAGCTTGTCAGTGACAGGCCATACAACAATGGGCAAACCATCTGTTCCTCTCTGTATACTAAACAACTCCCTGCCAACCTTGTTATGTTCATGTAGCCTGCGGCCTGCACAAGACAATAATATGGGACATGCACTCTACTAACATAATTTTCTGCCCATGAATCCTCCATAAATACACCGGTTCTTTCCCTGAGAAGGAAACAAGGCCAATAAGGCCAAGTACGGATACCACATTATGTTACTGTCACTCCAGTCTCTGTGAGTAAGAGAGAGTGTGTGTTTGACAGAAGGCTGTATTTGTACAGTGGAGGGCTCTCGGCCATGTGGGAGCGACAAGAGTGCTTTGAAGCCACTATTTTTATTCACTGATTCAGAATGGGTGGCTGCAATGGGAAGAGCAACTCCTCTACGCACAGAGACGCACAACTAACAGGATTAGCAAAATGCAGCATGGCCATCATCTGTCCAATCCTCAGAAAATAAGAAACCTCTTGGAAGCACTTGTACTGCCCACAACGCTGAAAACAGAAACAAAGCAAAGCACAGATCTGAAACTGGAGAGATTGTCCCACTGTTCATCACTGGGATATGTACTCCACTTCATGAACCACAGAGAAATAACAAGCCTGTGTCGTGAAGGATGTAGAAAGTCAATCACAGGAAAGTTATTTAAGATACTTAATGTAAAGTGGATAAACTTAACCACAGACAGAAATAAGACATAAGGAGAGGTGGGGTGTAACGCTGTAGTTTCACATTGATAGAATTAAAAATGTTAAACGACAGCCACTTAACGACCCCCCTCAATCCTCGAGTAATCCAGATATTTGTTGAACCTCTTATTGATCAGGCTGATCAGCATAGAAACAAGGGAAACAACCGAGCGGCTACATAACAACACAATTAAGCCAAGGCGGTGCCAAGAACTATTTAATTAAACTATTTATCCGAATATGTAGTTCTTTATGAATACTAGCGGCTCCCTGATTAATCATTCGTTTGATTAACCAGATAAACTAAGATTTACATAGCTTTATCAACCATGCAGTAAACAAGCTAACCATTGCTTGTTTCATTTGTTGGGTTGAATGCCTCGATGCTAACTAGCCAACTGGCTAACATGGACTTGGTAAAGCCTTAGTCGACGAACTAAAACATTTTCACCGCATCAAAAGTCAAGAAATGTCTGTTTGAGCATTCAGTTAGAGTCAGCAAGGGGATAATAGTTAGTAAAGAGATACCTGTCGGGGCTGTAGATCCCGAGTCTGCTGTTCCAGCAGTCGCCATTATGGTTCGGCTTGTTCACATCACAAGCAGCGCAGAGCCCACAATTTAATTCTGACCGTCATGTCGTAGAAGCGCCACAGCGCCCCAGCGGACTGAAGTGGAACAGCTCCAGTCAGGGTGCCGTCGAACCATCCATTTCCATTCAGTTTGTGAAATTAACAGATATTTTCTTTAAATCCACTTTTCTCATCAGGGCGAACAAATATAAATAATAATATAAATCATATCATTATTATTATTATTATTATTATTATTATTATTATTAATATTAATAATAAATACATATTAATAATAAATCATATTAATAAAAAAACGCCGTTGTCTATCAACACGATATCATCTTTCATCCCAGAGGAGCAATTTCTTTACAGTACAGCCAGTAACACACAACCATCTCACTGACAATAGAAATAAATAAAAGAAAACAATGTTTATATTTCAGCTGATGCAGCAGCCCCAAAACAGATATAAGATATAGTAAGGGACCTAACATTATAGCTTAACAGAAAGTGACATATTTAGGCAAAACCCGACAATATTAGTGTGGTATAATGTGATGGAACAAAATTGATGATAAGTAAATATAGTACAAATAAAATACATGTTTTTATGTTGTAATGATACTTAGTTTAAAAATTGTGTGTTGCAAGCAAGCCATGTTTATGCAGTTTACACATTTTTTTAAAATTAAATGTATTTAAATCTATTTTCTCAATCTTTGCAATGTCTTTGTCCAAAGTAACATTATACTGTAAATCTGTGATATTTCCATGCTGTTAATGTTAATCGAAGAATGTTCTTTACACAGATGAATCACTGCAAAGGGTTACGATTGACAAGAAAGTGAACATCAGGCCAACACAAATGCAAACGTGAAAATCCAAACTTGTTGTTATGACTGATAACTCTTTGGTGACAACAAAATGATGGCTTGATATAAAAAAAAAGATTTGAGGTAATCTTTAAGTGGTGTTTTGGAATTAATGTCATTCAGTATCCACCTTAGTGATAAGTTGTCATTATATTAAATTAACTTACTTGTGTTCAACACATTTTAATGCTGCCAAACCCAGTTGTTAAACAGACCACAAAGGTGCTGCGTGCAAGAAGACAGTAAACCACACAAAAGTTGAATTAAAAGACATTTTTATTAGAGCTGTGTAGATTTGTTCTTAGTCACAAACCATACAAAAGGAAGAAAACAGAACTTGCAGCTCCAAATAAATCAAAAAAATGTATTTGATATCAAAAGTATAAAGAGCAGTCTGTTAAAAACAGTGGTACAGAGACCGTTCTTTTTTACAATCTAAGAATTTAGCAACATTCCTGTTCCTTTATAAATGTATTTTTGTGACAACAATGATTGTCATGTGATGAAAGTATGCATGTAACACTGGCAGTAGTAAATATAGAGAGAGCTGGGTCCACATTTTGAATATTCTTACAGACCTCTAAATAGGATTTGTGCAAAGACAATTGTTCCTCTTCAGTGATTGGAGCTCATGTCTGCTGCTACCTTGCCATTTTGCCTGAATGGCTCAGTGCCAGAGGGGTCAGCAGGGAGAGGTCACAGGTTTAAGAGAGAGGGCATCTCTTCCTCTTCTTTTGACGTAAGGCACTCGAAGCTTTGGTGATGGCATCCATGAGAATATTCGAGACACACTCTGGAGCGTCTTGTGAAGAAGGCTTGCGGCAACAACGTCGGACAGCTGGGGGGGACGGCTTCTTTGATGAACACAGATTCCCTGACAGTTCCTTAAGCTGATTCCATTGAGATGGAACCAGACCAGAGGGAAGAGAATAGTATAATTTAGAAAAATAACAATTTTAAACTATTACATTCAGAGTTTGTCATCTAATCAGATTTGGTACAGACCCGCTCCTTTTTTTAACTCACCCTTTGATCAAAACAACTGCTCTTCTCTTTTTCAGCCAGGGGGCAGCATTTTTGCACAAAGTTCTTGAGAGGAAAACCAACCGGGTACCTAAACAAGTGACATTGTTACTAGTTTCTAACAGTGCATTCTTCACAGATTCTACAGATAATCCATAAATAAAACAGAGCATTCTTTAAATAAAAGTTTGCAGCATATATAAGATGAGATTCAGCTGCTTGAGGTAAGTTAAGTTTTCTTGGATGTGACTTTAAAAAAAACAGAAAAAGCACAAACACAAAAACAGAGCATTTGAGAAGAAGAAAGTGATAAGGTTGATAGAATAACTGACAGATGTATGATGTTATGTCTTACTTCTTCTTGATGATTTTGTGGGTGTCACAGATGTTTTGCAGTGTGACCTCTTCGGTGGCCGAAGTCATATTAAAATGAGGGTCGGGAGAAGCATTTTGGAAACAGCTGTATCGATCATTGGCCTCGCCCCCTGTGGAACAACAGTGAAAATCCACCTGTTCACCGTTCTCACCCAAGCAAAACTTGTCAAGCTCTTCACGCCACTAATAAAACACAAAAGGAGAAACGTGATGAGAACCTCAAATTGCTGAATATGAAAAAAATATGAATGTTGTTGTAGGTTTCTTGCTTCACCTTCTGATCAAAACAGTTGAGAGTATTCCGTTTCTGTTTGCAGCACTGTTTGAATCCCTTTTCTACACGATTAATGGTCTTTGCTTGGCGAGCAACTAACTCATACCCTGAACCTGGCAGGCACTTGACATTATAGAGTGGACGTAGCTTGTAGTTTTGGCACAGTGATTCAATGACATGCATTGTGGGCCGTCCAGGAGGGAAGTTGATGTCAACTTTTCGGGACGTCGTAGATGGTTTTTTCATCTTCTGTCTTCTGTTTCCTCTGGCACTATACGGAGTCATTACTGACCTGCAACGTATGAGACATAATGTCAAAAACCTGTCTCGTTAGGCTAAGTCCTAACTAAAGGTATAAATCCTTAAAAGGCTGACAAATACGTATGGAGTAAATATATTTGGGCACATTGACTTGTTTATTTTGAGTTGATAGTTTATGACAGAGAAACAAATTATTTCAGACATTGAAAACACAAGCATTAATTGTTAGTCAGAACCGTTTTTGCTCAGTTCAGTTTAGAACAGTAAGAAAAACAAAGAATTTGCAAGACATATTTTTATACCCTTCAAAAATTAAAAGTGGCTTAAGAAACAGACCTCTGGCTTTGTTTTTGGCGTATATTTAATTTTTAGTTTGATGGTGAGCCAAAGAGAAAAGTAGAACCTCTATTTTTACTGGAATTTTAAACATTTTGGTTTCTTAGTGATGCTACTTAACTCAAATGACATCTTCTTTATTGCTGCTCATTCAATTTCCCTGCATACCTCTGACAAGTGTCGGGGTCAAAGTTGAAGCTGTCAGTGGAAGGAAGTTCTGGCACGGGCAGCTCCTCCGTTGGCTTGTAGTCAGGATTTGGAGCGTCGTTGTTGAAGCACTTCAGTCTGTCACTGCCTCTTAGTCTGCAGCAGTCATAAAGACGGTCCTTTACTGATGAGTCTTCTGCACAGAAAGATTCAACTGACAGCTCCCACTGTAGTAAGGCACAGAAACACAGAAGCGACAGTTAGGTGTATGAAATAATACTTGCCAAACGTCTGACTGCATATGGTCATTCCCTGAGTGGAAACTGAAAACAAACATATTAAGAGGAAGGCATAACGATTCAGTAATACTTTAGTAAGGCTTTATTCCTGTAATAATATGAGACAGGTTTGTTGTTTGCCCTCAGACAGCTCCTGAAGCGACGCCAAGGCCTGTCTGTTACGTCTGTTAGGCTGGGCTGCATTCAACGTGCTTATCTACTCTAATCGCCCAAGGGCTTCTACTTTGTTTAGAAATCGCAAGTACCATCATCTCAGCAATGTGGAGAATGTTTCATACTCAGGTTATATAATAAACACTGTGTTTGGTATGAGTACATGATATAAAGCCTACTTCATAACAGTCGCAGCAATCAAGTTACAACGTATATATAAAGTTACAGAAACTTTCAAATATATGAGTTCTCTGAGAGCATTCCTCCACATGAAGCATTAAGTGGATAATTATTTTTTGACATTAGAACAATTTAATGTGTTTCAATGTCACTTTAATCGTGTTGGGACTAGTCCTGAAAGATTTGAGGAAAACATGATATGCGATCAAATTCTTCAGTATTGTGATAACGTCATGAAGGGCGATAAATAAACAAAAATCAAAGTGCACTTTTTTATACCACTAAATTAGCTCAAGTTAATCCAAGTAGCTAGGAGCTAGATGAATTAATCTAAATGCAGAATAGAAAGGGTTAACTCTAACCCTAAACAGAGTCGAGGCATGTCCATTAACCACAGGTCTCCATTCCGAAGGTAAATTGCCCATGCAGTTTTCTTTTTCACAAAAGACACACAGTAGTCCAACACATAAAATACAACTTTCATACGGAAAGAGGGAAGAAAAACTTGAGCTGGTGAGGTAAGAAACCCGAGGAGGGCTTATAATGGCTCCTCCCCAATTTAGTATATTTTAGTCATAACAAGAACTACAGAATAAATAGAAGAGAAGGCTTTGCTTGTATACATAAAATATTGGTTTTCATATATTGCTATAAATGGAGACTATTCTGATGTGTTCATTGAAAATGCTTATATCACAATAATGATGAAATTGTTGTAAATGACACATCCCTATTTGAGACTAATGAGAAGTTACTGCAAAAGACACCCTCATCTAGAAAGTGCACTATACCGGGTACATTTGGAGGCATATAGAATTGAATCAGTTAATGCAGGGCAATGAGGCCATGCTGCATGTTTAGTGATTTTGCATGAGAGTAGAGGTATGAAGGGGAGACAACTTGAAGCTTACACTGTCAGAGTGTCACAAAGGTGGTCATGTTTGAACTGGAGCGTCTGCAGATTGTTTCCCTAAGCTTCCTGATATGTTATTATCCACTTAACTTAGGCACAACAATGGATGAAAACTCATGTTCTTCTGTTCCCTGGCTGTAGGAGAACTGGTGTTCACTAACTACCATTTATATTACAATCAACAACATGATCACCACATACAATGTGTCTAACATTAACAATGTCGCTTGGGACACAGGATTAAAAACTGAAGAAAATGACTTTGATCCCATCGTATGAGTGAGGAGTCAGCAGTCAATAAGTGAATGAAATAGTAAAAAAAACATAATCACTGCACCAGTCGAGGTAAATGAAAATTTAAAGGTCCAAATGTCCACAAACACATGGATGTAGTAGTATGCATGATAAGATGCAGACAGACTTAGACATAGAGGCATGATCCCTCCCTGTTTATACATAACAAGATAACAAAGGGGGATAAACCAAGAGAAATCAAAGTAATAACACACTGAGTATCATACCATTATTTAGAGTGAAAAAATGCTGAATTGGCAGTACAAGATGTTGCAAAAACTTACTGCCTGTGTGGCGCAACACAGTGTCACTTCCTCTCCCACGTCTGGTTCCCTTTGCAGCACATGCTGAACCAAGACTCTGCCCTGTTGACGGCACTGGCTCTTCTCCTCTGCTGGCCAAAACCAGAGTCAGGGAAGTAAGAGGTTGGGTAGCGGGGACGAAGGTCTCCATGGTGACAGATGGCTTGGAGATTGTCAGAAGTCGGACGGCCTAGAGGGAACTGAACGCGATAGTCAAGTATTGGAGGACCCCCGAAGGAACGAGGTCCAAAACTCGGTCGTCCTAAGAGGAGAGGACAGAAATCATTCTGTAAATAATCCCTATTACAGTGAAAGGTGGCACAGATGAGGAAAATACAACTCAAGATAAAGACAGGAAACATATACTAACGTCCTCTTGGTGTCAAGCTTCCTGGTCTGGAACTCCCTGACAGAATAAAATTGTGTTAAATATTACTGTTCAAGTGTTGATCTTCATATCATTGCTACTTAATTACAGCCTACCTCTCTCTCTCAGGACATCGTGCTGTTCGGGTACAGACACTTTCACCTGCTCGATGGGGAACTCTTTACAAACAGAGGAACAACCAACATGATGGTTAGAACAACTTTGGTTGTAGCATTGATTATTTGCCAGACAAAAGCAAGTTTAGGCAGGGTGTTGAAAATGAGAAAGGTTTCAAGTGAACACCCAGTTATGCAGTTATTTAAAAAGTTTACAAACATATGTAAAGAGATGAACAGTACCCATGGGATCAAGGAGGTCTGACAAGTCCACCTCTGACTGCAACATGAACTCTTCGGATTGTTGTATCTCTGAAACACACATGGATATCTTTAAGCAACAATTTACACTAGACTTGACTTGTGTACTCTATGCAGGAGCTTGTTGTTACGCACTATACTTGAACTTTATGTGTCAATTAAAATGTAATCAGTCATGCTGACAGAGTCTGACACATGGTCTAAACAGAATTTTCTTTTAGTTCTGTTTATTATCAGATTAGACTGCAAAACATCCTCAATATTATTCTTCCAGACTTTGGAAAGCTCCATAAAGAGCTCTAACAATACAGAGGCATTTTAAAATGAAGAACATCCCATGAACTTCAAACTGAGCTTCATGTGTGAGAAAAATTAGGGGAGCCTCACACCCGTGTTCTGACTCCCTCTTGAAGTAGTAAGAGTTGGCTAAATGCCACTGTGTACATCTGAGCTTCTAATTGGTCCCTGCAGAGATACTGCACTGGTATGTGAATACACTCACCTTGCATGATTTTGTCAAGGTCAAAGGTGACCTCACGCTGCTCAATCATGTGCTCATCTGGAAAATTGTACACATAAAGAGAAAGAGAGGGCAAAAAGCCAGAAAAAGTTATGCAACTGTTCACATTTTTCTTTTAATGCACAAATGATGCAGGAAGAAGGCCATTGTTGAAAACAAGTATACCATTAGTTGAGTAGGTATTAATAATAGCAACAACCTTTGGGCAAAATGATTCTTTCTAAGTAAGTCCTGCACTTTTTTCATTTTTCTGTCAGTTAAATTTCAAGTAGCCTAGTATCATAAAAATCAACCTTAGACGAAGTGCAGTATGTTTTGCATCATTAAATCACACATTATATGTCAATGTTGTTGAAGTGGAGCTGATTTTCTTTATCTTTCCCATCTTTAACAATCGCATACATTAGGTCGTAAAGTAGTGCAATACAATAAAATAAAAAATCCGCTGATATATAGCTAAAAGAATAGTTATAGTCTACATACTGTACTTATTGTGTAAGTGAATAATTGTAAAGTTATAGGCCTATTGATGGTAGTCGTCGGAAGACGAGTGTATTTCTGTATTCATCTTAGTAAGACTACAGGCAAAATAAACGCACTTACATGAGCTCAGCAGAACAAAAATGGAGCCCGGCTACCAGCCAAGAAGAAAACACAACAACTTTTGGCATGAACAACAAAGTAGAACAACAAACTTACCTTTGGACGCTGAGCTCAGTATAACCAAAACAAACGCGGTGGAGCAGACTAGAGCTCGGGACGACCCCATGGTATAGCTGTCAGAGTGTATCCGGTATGTTTGTCCCGCTGCTGCTGGTTCTGGCGTACAAGAGAGCAAGACCGAGAGAGAGAGAGAGAGAGAGAGAGAGAGAGAGAGAGAGAGAGAGAGAGAGAGAGAGAGAGAGAGAGAGCAGAGCCGCCCTGAGAACACGCTCACGCAGTCCGTAATTGGTCCAACAGACGCCGCCGTGCTGTCCGTCTGTGCTACCGGGACAACAGATTTTATGCTTGTTGTGGGGAGGGAGGGAAAGTTTTTTCAACATGACTCATAGAGGATTCGCTCTAATCCTGAGTGCTGGGAAATTATCATCTTGTAGACTATATATTTGTTTTTATGTAGGACTAAATTATTTTTTCACAGTTAGGCTACTGTTAAACCAGACTATTGGGCAAACACAGCACCAATCCATAATGAAAAACATAGGTTATTAAAAGTATTTTATCAGGTCATAGCCACACATTTGTCCTGGTCTATTCATCAGCGTCCATATGTGCCTTGTTGTTCCAACAAATGCTTCAAGAACTAAACATATGCATATTTCCTTTGTCGTATGATTTTGTATTGTAGGGTAGGCCTATCGCTTTAGTATTAGCCTCCAACAGGTGGTATTTAAAAAAATATAAATACCACAAAAAATATGCAATATTTTGCTGTGAGTAGCTTATTCATCAAGTCAAACTACTACATTTCCTATTAAAGGGAATAAATAGGCTATTTTATTTTGTGGAACCACCCTGTGAGGGTAAATGCCCATGTCTTTAAGTCTATAGGCTGGGCTAAAACATTATGATCTTCTACTCTGAAGGGTTTTTGTGTGATATTTTTTCTTGAAAAGTTTGCTGAGAAGTCTGTCTGTAAAGGGTAAATTAAACTCAGGCCTATGTTAAAGTGGTGAAGTACCCCTTTGAATTCTAAACATTTGTGAAAGTTAAGATTTTGATTTTTTACTGAAACATTTTAAATACTTCAGGAATCAATTATTAACAAGATAATGTTACTTGTTCCCTCAATCTGAATTTTTCTCATGCCACCATGTTTGTAATTTTTAGTTTGCTTGCATGCTAAAGGCCTTAAATTCTTTGTTATCTCTCACTGAGTTTGAGTCCAGGGTCAACACGACCCACAGATTCCAGTCTGAAACAAGGACTCGACCTCTACTCAAACCCTCCAACAACATTCTTGTAAAAAAAAGCCAAATCTGAGTGAAGAAGAACTCCTGTTTTGATCTGTTCTCTGTTTTGATGATTTCCCCCAGTTTGCACTGTATAGGCCATAGCTTTAACTAGAAGGATTATCCGGCCTTTACCGCTCTGCCTCCAGCTCTTTCCCATCATTTAAAGAAGATATCAGGAGGATCAAAGTTTTTCATTGCTTGCTGTAAATAATAGGGGTCCGGAAACTGTACAGAAATCCCCCTAGAGAGATCAGAGAATAACAAACAAGACAGACATGGCTGCAATACACTCTCTTCCCGAAAGAAAAATAAACAAACAGATCTACAATTTAAACAGTTAAAAAGTCGTGTATAATGTTTGAAATATCTGAAGAAGTTGATATCACATGTTAACGCATTTGCTTTTTAATGATCCAGAACAGCTTAAGTGCCTTAGCAGGAAAATTAATGCGGATCCCTGGATAAGGAGTTTGCTCCGGGAAGAGGAGGGAAAACAGAACTGTTTACCTGATTTTTCCCCAAAACAAACTGACAACAAAAAAATCACTGCATTTAGAAAGTTGGTATTAGAAAACAAAAGATGACAAAGTCCCCACGAGCATCTAACATGAAGTCATTGTGGTTTATCTTTCTTCCCTAAAAAATTGCAACATTTACCACATCCAACTGAGTCAATCTTTTAATTTTCTGTACACTTGGTAAACAAAAGTTTGTATCCATGACGACCTGAAGACAACTTTAAACTGCCAGAGTCTGAACAAGGCTGATCCAGTGACTAACATTTCCTTTGAGTAAACCCTGCAGCTCCATGTCCTCAGTATGTTTAAGTTGTTTTTGCTGACAGTGATAAATCATTCTTATCACTTTAAAGCTACAGTGTTGTTTTGAATCCAGCATTTTTCTTACCATATCAAAACTGCATGTCTCAGTCTTACACAACTGTTTATATTAGCCTACACAAATACCAAATAAAGTAACCACGCCTGCTTCGTGTTACAGCCTCGGCAGTTTATTAGAAGGTTTGCATAGAATTATCTTCAACATAATCAAAGAGGACTACTGTAGCGCAAGGCGTAGTTCTTAATGCTGAAACATCTCAACATTTCCTCTTTGCTTGTGGCATTTAGCCAACATCATGAGAGACAACAAAATATATGCAAGATCATGTGGAAAAAATGAAAAAGAAAAGGTTTCACACAGAGGAAGACAGTTTGACTCAATGTCCTTTTTTCAACACTTACTGCAACATCTTTCCATGAGCTCAAACGATTTAAAAAAAAAAAAAAGCTGTAAGAATGGATTCAAAAACAGGACATCATTTTAAAGATGCTGCTGCTTTGAGGGACTTTCTTAGCTGATTCTTGATAACATGCAGCCGAGGACAAACATTTCTCTATGTGGAAGCAAAGAGGCAGCTTGTCTCTTTTTGTGTAGCACTAAACATGTAATCTACTCATTCACGCCTGTTTGGAAAGTTTGTTTCTGAGGTTACCAAACAGAGAAGAGACATATTTCACTGGCATTCAAAGACACACATATCTCACATATTAACCTTTACATTTAACATTACTGAAATATTATAATACAACACAAATGTTGAACCAAAATGTTGGATTGTTTGAAACAACTGGTTGTCATACTGCACCATCAGTCTCATATTGTACACAACTTTGTATGTATTAAAGACATCCAGGGGTCCTTAAGTGGTTTTCAGGGGGTCCACAAAAATAAATTTGACCTATAATTCCATCCATAAGTAACTGAATGAGAATGAACTGTTCTGTTCATCGTTATCATACACTTTCTGTAACAAAACCCTTATAGGGGAAACAAAAATCTTACTCTGGCTTTGTGATTCAATTTATGCCATTGTGTCATTAATGCATACTTGACATGAAAAGAAGGAACGCAGTGTAAAAGTAATTTCTCTCTGTCATCTATCTTTTGCGGTAGAAAAACTGAGTAGAAGGTTGATCCATTAGTTGGTGTAAAATCTTCACAGAGGAGGATTTAACTTTTTTTTTTAGAAATATGACTTTTTAGGACAGGTTGAGCAACTTAAGTCGTCATAAGCGTACATAATAGAACAAATTGAGAAATGAATTGACCCAGGTAGAGAGGATTGTGTAGTTTCAATAATGTTATGAAACTGGGTCAACATCTTGAACACTATTGCTGAATGAGCTGTGCAAATATGACTAATATTTTGGTTGTTTGATGTTTTTGGCTAATAGAATGTGATGTGTACTGCTTCAGGAGCATTCACCAAGGGGCAACTGCAAACTTTTTTAAGCCACCTTTTAACACCTTTTAATATTCTTTGTATTTTACTTTCAAGGAAGATTTTCTGCTGGACTTTCTGCTAAGAACGACCCGTGTCCTGCAGAAAAACACAGTGTGACACACTAGGTCAGCTGCATTTGGACAGAATCACAATCCTAAGAGAAAATGAATCCCACAACCAATTCACTCAACGAACAACAAAACATGTGTTTTCCTGGAATAAGTAAAATCAGTAAAGCTATATAAAAGTGTTGACATTTATGTTTGACACAATCTATCAAAAAGCAGTTCTGGAGGTCATGTTATACTTAAAACACTATAGTTTCCTGCTTTTCTCATTTTTGTTCATTATTAGAAAAATAGATTCTGTCAGGAAGAAAAGCTGGGATTTCAAATGTTATGTTTGTGTGGTTCTGTGTGTGATGAGTATCCACGGGAATCCTCAGTGAGTGGTCCCCTGCAGCTCAGGCTCAGAGGCAAACAGCTCCTTGTAGAGAGGAGGGAACAGAGAGTGAGCGGTGAGCGGGTAACGCTGACTGAACCAGCGCAGCTTCTCCATGTGCAGGCTGCACAGTGAACGCAACACCGCCATCCTCTGGTGCAGCTGCAGGAGAACACAGACATAGTGAGAAGCATGCATGACAAAGAATTACATGTTTTTAGGTGGACTGAGGAGAGAGTATCTGTTCCATACTGAGAAATGTACCTTGTGCATTAAGTTTTCTTGGTTGTCTCGATGCAGGATGTTTGTGAGTCCCAACTCCACACTTCTCTGCACTCGCTGAACTCTGCTTCTGTCCTCCAGGCATGGACGATCTGCACAGAAAGACAAAATAAAAATTGAATGATAATATTTTTCAAAAGGGGATATTTTAAACTCAAATCAAATCACTGCATGTAGTAGGTTTGAATATTCTGGTTAAATGTGCTACATGTAAATGCTAACTATGATGCTATTTCTAATAACAGCCACTGGGGGCAATATTGATTGTTGTGTGAGATAATGAATTAATTAAACCACAGGGCAAATGTGATAAAAGATATGCTTACTTGATTGTGTGTCTATGTTTTTTTCAATTGTGAAAGTTAGAGGATGTCTTAGGGGAAGAAAAACTTTTAGGAACTATTTAAGTAAAAATTATTATTTTATTTTTTCTAAAACTGAGATATTCAGCAATGGATGGCTTAATGTGGACAATATGAATCATTTCAAATCATTTTTATTTTTTACACTGACAAGACTTATCCATCAAGAACTATTAATATAAAAATGCTGACTTGGCTAATCCTAAAATAAGCTTCCCAGAGAAAAAAAAAGTTGCTTAATGGACACTATACAACACTATATTTGACACTATACAAATATATTGCCTATCCTGCTGGTAACCAACGGTCACCACTGTTTGTAAGTGTCCTTAAACTTGTTAACTTTTCCAAAACTGAGGAAATGAAAATACAAGGCAGCTGCTGCACAGATGTGTCGATCTTACCTGCATTGATCAGCACCAGAGCACTGAAGAGGGCAATCTGCTGCTCAGTGAGCTTCAGAGCACATATGCCATGAGCAAAATCAAACACAGCTGTGATTAAATCTCCACATTCTGCAAGAAAAGACAACAACAGAGCGTTGATGAAAAATATTTGTACATTTTGTTCATTGCACTCATTTCATTGGTGCCTCATGTGGTAGCTTAGAGTAAAAAAAAAAAAAAAAACTCACCCAAAGATTTGAATATTTCAGCCACAGCAAATTTCCCATCAAAGAAGACTGTGTTGTTTTCCGTGTTAAAGAAACGACTCATCCTGACTAAAACCACCTCCATGGAGCCTGAATGATGAAACAGAGACAGGCCAAATATACATTAAAAACATTATTTGGTGTGAAGGAGATGGTTCTTACTTGTAAGTGTAAGAAAAACTTACCGGTCTTCAGGAGGGCGATCTGGTCGTTCTGGCTCAGGTTACGGAAACCAGGGATGTGTTTTGCAAACTCCACAACATACTGCACGGCATCAGTCAGTCGAATGGCACAGTGCTGCCACATTTCATCCACTGACTGAGAATGTAGAGTGATATTATTTTTACAACACGCTTTATTAACTTGACATTTATGTAAAACAAAAAAAAAGGACTCAATTTTTTTCTCATACAACATCAACATATTCTAAATGTCCCAACTATTGATTCTGCTGCTCTTTCTATACTTAAGCAAACAAAATATCATAATTTACAGACATTCAAATGATGGTATATGGGCTGTTTACAGGAGATCAACAAAGTCATTAACCTTCAACTTAACATCAATTTCCCTAAGATCAAAGAGGAAGGAAGAGGAGGAGGGGGAAATGATTCAACTAGTCTACTCAGTTTTCTGTTTGATGAATCAAAAGTGACCTCTGTATAGAGACACCTGAAATGGCATGTTTTGTCTTGAGGTCACACACGGCAAGAGAGAGTCTGAGAACCAAAAAACAAGTCATTGTGTTTGTGTACTTTGTTCTGGTAGGCTTGAATCTCCTCTCTGCTGAACAGTTTCCATCTGAGGGCCTGCAGCTCCTCCACTCTGTACTTGCTGGTCTCCCTATGGGAACGCATGATACTAGCACACAGCTCATCTGAAAATAAGAAAAAAATACACTTACAGTATATATGAATACTTTACTAAACTTGTTTAAAATTAAACTTAAACTTAACAATGGTACACATAGTTATCCACTGTGCTGTTTGTTTACCTATGTTCCTCAGAGAGTAAGGGTAGAGGCTGTAAGCATCTTCCAGAGGGTTGTAGGGATGAATTGCCATCAGATCATTAGCAGGCTGTCTAGAGTTAAATCCTGAAGTTGGGAATGAGAATATAGTAAGAATAAGATGAGAGGATGAATAGAGATGCGTGCAAACAAGAATGCCTCACCTCTTATGTCAAGGTGTCCGCAGTTGTCCCTCCTCTCCTGAGATCTAGATGTCGGAGAGCTGGAGGAGCCTCGGTAAATCATACCTGTCATCTGCGCCTCACTTGGGGAGCACACAAGGTAAGGGTGAACATCAGTGGTGTAGGACATCAGCTCAGCTTCCCCACTGAATGAGTAGGCCATAGGCTGGAGGAGCTGCTGGGAGCAGTCTTGGCAGCCCTTGGCGGGATAGGTGAGGATGGACTGGGCGTCTCCCTGAAGCTGTTGTTGCTGTTGTTGCTGTTGCTGCTGTCGGTGCCTCTCCACTTCAGCGATCAGAGAGTCCCGTTGGCGTTTGGACATCCGCCCAAACTTCACCGCTGAGGAGGGGGAAGATGAATATGTGAACGTAAACATGCGTTTCAACTGCTGAATTTAGTTTTTCTGTCTGTCTGTGTGGATGTGTTTGTGTCTCACCATCCCTGCTCATGCCCTGTGCCAAACACTTCTGCAGGCGGCAGTGTTGGCAGCGGTTGCGGCTCGCCCGGTCAATCTGACAGTTGCTCTGCCTAGAGCACGAGTATGATACAGTAGGCAGCTGGCTGCGCCTGAAAAACCCCTGAGGAATGAGCACCCACAAATATTATTTTAAAGCAGATACCAATATTTGTATTACTTTTTTTCGACTCCAACAATATGTTAGTGTGTGTGTGTGTGTGTGTGTGTGTGTGTGTGTGTGTGTGTGTGTGTGTGTGTGTGTGTGTGTGTGTGTGTGTGTGTGTGTGTGTGTGTGTATATATATATATATATATATATGTGACCTTATATATATATAACTATATGTGGTAAGACAATACTAGCTTATATTTCTTGCTTTCATGATTAAAGAAAAAGTTGAAACTTTTTGGAAAAGCTCTTGTGTGCTTTTTGCTGTGAGCTTGAATGTAGAAAACGGCAAGCTAGCTTAGTTTAGCAAACAGTTTATCTTGCTCTTGCAACCGAGGCAACTCCAAGAGATAACTGACACATAGTCCTTCAAAAATCAACAATTTATCATATTAACACTTCCAGATTCTGTGCAAATACAACAAAAACCTATTATATGTGCATTGGTGAGCTTTAGTACACTATCTGCAGAGCTGAGTTAGCTCAGTCCCTCTGCTAGGCTAGGGTACTTTAGCTTTTCATTACATATAGACAAAAAAATATTAATCTGCTCAACTCACTGCATGAAAGCAAACAATTACGCCACATTGTTAACCGCTTTTTTAATATTTGAGAGTTGTATGTTTTCAGTTTGTCGAGGAACCATGTTTTGGATGCTGTCATCTCACCTTGCAGCCCTCACAAGTGATGACTCCATAATGCACTCCTGAGGACTTATCACCACAGATCTTGCATGGGATAACTTCAATCTGGGCTGAACAAACACAGGAGTAAAAGCTGTTATTTGAATTGTTTGTACTAAAGTAATTTAGTAAGTACTTTTCCACTCAAGTATAGCACAAATATTCTGATCTTGAAAGAAAATGCCAAACAAATGAAACCTATGACATTGTTATGACGACCACATGTAGATTAATCAGTTCACTGTTACCATCAAATAAACTCTTCTATACATTTAGTCATGAACACGTGTATAATTTAAATGAAATTGAACTTTAAAGAAACTCCCATGTTTTGTAATTTAAAATATACATGTTAGCACATTAAGCTTAATCTCTATAGCATATAGTCAGTAACTGTATAGGTATATACGCTGATGATACTGCACAATTTAATTCAAAAACGTAAGTAGCGAGATGATTCCCACAGTGAGAACTTAAGTCTGTTGCTGTAGATCCCCTTCAACATCTATAAGTTACTGTGTGACCAGAGCAAATAAGAGGGATTTTCCTCTAAAACGCATATTGTTTTACTAAAAATGAACAAAATAACATCAAATACAACAATGAGAGTCTTCTGAGAACGTGGAATATTTTCAAATGGAGAAAGGCGGAGGAATGTGAAGGTGTCAACCTCAGAGACCTTTCAAGTGGTTGACTGGCTTCTCTTTCACTTTGACTGTCCCTCTTTCATGTCTTTTCTTTCTCTGTGAATCCTTCTCTGTCTCGCTCATAAAGGACACAACTGCCAGTAATGTACTCTCTCCTTCATCACTGCCAGTAATGGCCATCCCCCTACCAACCTCCCCCCCCAAAGCCCCTGAACTGTGTGAGTTATCACTCTCCCCTTTCTCTCTCTCTCTCTCTCTCTCTCTCTCTCTCTCTCTCTCTGCATAGGTGTGATTTTTGTGACAGTCAGATGTCATTTGAGTGATTACAGTTGGAAAAATCTCTTTAAAAATCTTGGTGTGAACACATTTGAAATGCAGTTAAAATACTTCCAATAAACCATCAAGAACTTTGCATCAAACCCTGCAAAATTCACATCAATCAACATCAGCGAATAACAACACATCCAGGAAGCAAGAGGCTAGAATGTTGTCATTTTTGTCACGCTAGAAAGTTACGTCTTTTTATCTATTCCTCTCATCTCCTCACCTACCTCAAATGCACCGACAGTGTGATTGTTTTCTGCTAGACAGGCTTGTATATGTATGCGGCTGCTTATATACAGTAGTATTTGTGTTTCCTTGAATAACTGTGTCAGATTTTGTAGCAAGTGTGTGTTAGTGTGTCAGTATGTGCCCTCTTTATTTGGTGCCACAGGGACTATCCAGAGGCTCCAGAAGAGTACCATTAGTAAGAGGTGAAATCTACTTTTTAAATGCAAATGTGGAGTACAAGCAGGTATGAAAATGAATAAATAAGCACTGCAAAACTGAGGTGATTGTTGCTAATTAAGGTCAATGGTTAAATCCGAGATTCCCCAAGAAGTTGTTTCAATTATTCAAAAAGATGCTGACAATGGATAATTTGGTGGAAATCAATATTTTAGAATTTTGTCGAACATTTCTCTGCAAGCTAGATATGGTTGCATGTATGTTAACATTAAGTTACTGAGCTGTGTCTATGGTTGTGTTTCAGACGTGGGGAATATAAGTGGTCTCTGTTTTTCACTATTTCATATGTGACTGTTAATCTCATAAACAGGAAATCCACCATGACCCACAACCTTTCGCTGTTCAAAGACGCACACACTCACATACACACAGGCAGCAATCATGAATACTACTTCTTGAATAGTAATTCTCCATTCAATTAGACGTCTGATATTTCTCAATATCATTATAGGATAGTTCTTAAACCAGTAACTCTTCAATGTACAATAAATTAAGACTCAAAAACAAACAAACACAGAACACCTGCAAAATACACATATTTCATGGTCATGGAGTATGAAGAAACAAGTTTCATGGCAATCGATTTAACAGCACATACTGTATATTCCCTGAAAATCTGCAATCACCTACTGTACTTCCTTCAGCTTTTTTCGTGTCACAATGTTATCTAAAGCCGCAGAGTGACACCTATCAAAACCAGCATCTCCTGGTATGTGGGCACATGAGACAGACAGAAAGGTGAAAATACTGAAAAAAAAATGATTCTATTTGTGTCCTTCTCGTGATAGAGTTATGTCTTTACATTGACATTATTTCAAAGTGCAGTGTTCTCGTGTTTACACAGATGGTGTATTCATAAATCAGAAACAGGTCTGTACGTTGATTCTGCTCAGATCTCTATCATGGCTACTGTATGTAGACAAAGGGAGGACACTTGATGTGAAAAAATACAGCAGAATGGCCACATTCCATGAATAAAATGTACACGTATGTTTTCCTTTTGAAGACTTTGAAGTCTAATGAGGGGAACCCGCTGACAGATACAGATTTTTTTGCAACTGACAGTCGAGTGATGCACTATTGGATGCACATACTTCTGAAGTTTGTGATAATGCACTACATATGTGCAAATAGACATTAAAAAGTAAAAGAAAAGGAAGAAGAAAAAAAAAGCACTCAAATGATAAGTTTGTGGTTGGAAATTCATTCGATCTTCACCGTGTTCAAATAGAAGTCACAAAAATGAGACACAGCCAAGATACAATACTGATGAGAAATAAAACTTGTTGGACAAAAACATGAAGGTTTAAAAATATTTGTCCCTCTTTCTTTATCAATGCATTAAAAATGTATATTAATTGTAGATGTGATGTGTATATCATTAAAATTGTACACTGAAATACACACTCACCCAAGTGTGTGTGTGTGTGTGTGTGTGTGTGTGTGTGTGTGTGTGTGTGTGTGTGTGTGTGTGTGTGTGTGTGTGTGTGTGTGTGTGTGTGTGTAGTCTAGGACAGCACTGCAATAACTTGTGTCTTGGAGTGCCGTCCTTGAGTATGTTTGATACATCATTAAAATTAAAATTCCTTTGCTACATGTATTGTCTAACCAAAATGTACTATAAAGAAACCCACAACGTTTGATGTTTCCACTGAAGTTCAGCAACACAATAAAAAAAATGTATAAACACAATACACAAAGATTTACAAACTTCATGTTTATACTGACAAAATATCACTTCCAACTAATCTACTCTGAAAATTGTTGCTCTGTGTGCCAGATGAGGTATAAAAGGTGTTTGAGTAGAGTGGATGTGCAGTGATGGAAATGTTCTATTTTTTTTTTTCTGTCAGAAAAACAGAGTACCACCTCCCACACTTCCGCACACTAAGTGTACAATGATGCTTCTACACCGACAAACTTCTGATCAAAGGTTATCAATGACTTACATTCTGCTACTGAATAAGCGTAATTGTGATATCAGTGGTAGCTTGTGAGTAAAATTACGAGAACATTTACACTTTGACATTGATTTTATGACATCCAACGCTGAAAGCTGGACATTAAAAAAGAGCCATAATAGCAAATGATCTATTTGGGCTTCCTAACAAGTCATATTTTAATGTCGGGCACTAAAGGATGAAACAATAATCATTTGTCATTGTGTGTGTGTGTGTGTGTGTGTGTGTGTGTGTGTGTGTGTGTGTGTGTGTGTGTATGTGTGTGTGTGTGTGTGTGTGTGTGTGTCAGTGTGTGTGTGTGTGTGTGTGTGTGTGTGTGTGTGTGTGTGTGTGTGTGTGTGTGTGTGTGGGAGGATTAAGGGGGTCTAGGTGAGGTGATGGTACAGATTGCCACTCTCAACACAACATTCTGTCTAAAATAACATTGTCAGCAGTCTGATCGCTCACTGTAAATGGACAACAAAAAACCTCAACTTTCCTCTGACGGAAGCTTACCCTTAGTACACACGCAAGCAACAGTGCAATCAAGGGTGTGTACACATCACACACACACATCACACACACACACACACACACACACACACACACACACACACACACACACACACACACACACACACACACACACACACACACACACACACACACACACACACACACACACACACACACACACACACACACACACACACACACAGAAACATACTGTTGATCCCTCACAAACACAGGGACTATAATTCAGGCACAAGACATCAAATTACATCTAATCAATACCACTACAGTTTTCTGTAATTCATATAAATTCAACTTTAAGGTTTAGAGTATCATCGTTTTTATTTGAAGGGATCCCACTAAAATGGTTACATTTTGTTTCTATAGCAAGAACTTTGGAGTTTAGTAAATGAAGTTGTGTTGCATAATAATAATATGTGAACATATTTCCTCATGAATTTGCATTTGAGAATTTAATAGATAAAAAAATGTGATATCAAATTCAAGCTTTAGATTAATCAGTCTCGCTGCTTAGAAAGGTATTTGTCAGAAATGTACAATTACTTGAACCTTATTTGAACAGAATTTTAAATGCTGGAAGTGTTCATTTGATATGCAGGTACCGTGATTGATAACTGCTAAAATGATACATGTAATATGTATCTAAAAAAACAGGAAGAAAATAAACAAGAAAAGAAGCCAAGAGATTTAAATAAATGACTTTGTGTTGGGCTAAGTTTAAAGTTTTTGCCAATAAGAAGAAACAATAGTTAAACAAAAACTACAAATTTAACTATAAATCCCTTTGTGTTGAATTCCTACGTTAACATTTATGGTTGTATCTGTTAAAATGCAGACTACATGTGTGAAATATCCGTCCTGGTTGGTACATAAATGTGAAAACTCCTCCACACCTACTGTAGGTTTTACTCATTCATTGACAACAACTGAGCGAGAAAAGAACCAGCATCATTGTATCTTATGAAAACAAGTAAAAATCAAAGCTGATCCCAAGACAAATTAACAAATTTTACTTTTAAGCGCAGCTTGAACTTTGAGTGTGTTAATAAAAGATGATATTTGACTAAAGCAAAGGGTAGGAATCAGCTCAACTGTATTTCATTACCCTTGTGTCTCGAGGGGAATGTGTCACCTGCGATTTTGATGTGAGCTTGGATATAAAGACAACCGCGCTGACACTTCGGAATTGCTGTGCAGGTTTCTGCACCCAAAAGGAACAAGGAAATCCTTTCTGACAAAGAAACTGTATATGAATCTACTCAGGAATCCCCCGAACACAACAACAAAGCTGTATCAAGTGACTGTTCTGACATTATCAAACACAATGGTTGTGTAGCATCCGAGAAATTATTATTTCTGTCTTCGAATGAAGACACAAAAATGATGACGATGAATACTTAGCAATACTCAGACACCCTTTCATGTGCACACTATCAACACACAGCTGCAGGAGTAAGATAGACTAGATCTCAGCGCCATCAAACAGGCAGCTGTGCATCTTTGTATGTTTGCGTGTGTGTGTGTGTGTGTGTGTGTGTGTGTGTGTGTGTTTTCCACATTGCAGCAGAGATAAATAATGTTCGCAGCTTGCAAAGAAAAGATTCTTTACTTCTCGCCACGTCTCTTTTTCTTTTCTCTTTCTAAGTTTTTCTCTTGTAAATTGAAAGTACTTAGTGTAAAAAAAACCAACAATCCAAAATTGAATGATTTCAATCTCTACATTTTCACAATATTATCAGTGTTTCCTCTTCATCTACAGTACTCTATTTGTGGGTTGAGTTAGTCCATTCAAACTGATGCAGTGTGGTTGTGATGTATCCTGTTTCTCTCTCTTTCACTTTTAGGTTGGTTAAAATAAGGTGGAGGTGCATTTGCAAAAGAGTTTGAAACATCTTAACCGCCACATTATGACCAGACCCCTGAAATGGTTATTTTTTGTTCATCAAATTACCCCTTTAAAGAACTTTGATTAGTGGAAACTAATGGTGTTTTTACAAATGAACTCATATCAACTCGGCTTCTAAAAAGTATACATGTATTTTCAATGTGTCGCACTCTGATTCTCATAATCCAGAAGCAGCTCTGCTTCTTTCAATCGGTGCTCTATACTGTATGTGCCAGGGGGAAGAGAGAGGGAAGAAATATCAGAGACATGATTCAAATCTTAGATCCATCAAAGAAAAGCTCAGAAGTGAGTCATTTCACCAAGCCGTAAAACTGAAACACAAACCGATGTGAACGTATCCAACAGTCAGCCAATCGAAAACAGTGGGGTCATACGCTTTGGTTTCAAAACAAGATTGTAAACTACATGTAAACACAAAAATTTGGCATTTTTTTGGAGAGCACTTACGACAAAATATCTTTGGCTGAATAAAGCCTTAATATTAAATCACAAAAGTTGTCACACAGAGGTGTACATTAGGATATTTGGAGATGTCACAGCGCCTGATAACGCTGATGTGTTTAAAGCCATAGGTTTGTAAGCATGCACTAACACACATGTATTTCAAAGCTTGATGAGAGCTAAAAGAAGATGCAAAAATAAAAACTATAAAAAGCATTAATAGATACAACCATATAGAAACAATATGCATCATTAAACACATTGTGTCTCAGTCTTTGATTGAATCAGAGCAGATTGGACAGACACTTTGACTGAGTAATATGTTATTGATCTAATAGTTTTGATTGATAAGCCCGCACACACACACACACACACACACACACACACACACACACACACACACACACACACACACACACACACGCACACACGCGGAAGAACTTCATCCCTACCTCGCATCATCCTCACTCCTCCACTTGTCTCAGACGTTTGTCACACTTTCACAAACTGACTTTGTTCTCTCACTTTTATCTAACAACTGTCAGTCCCTCTTTTCTATTCTTTCGCTCTTCTTTTTTCCCCTCCGTCCTTTGGTGTGCCGTGACAGGTGCTCTGTGCAGAGTTAGCACACACATTAAGACTTTTGAGTGACAGTCACCGCCTCACCTTCCTTGTTAGCGTGTGTGCTTGAGAAAAAGGAAAAAAGAGAGAGAGAGAGAGAGACAAATAAAAGGGAGGGGACTGTCCCCTGCTCTTTGCTAAGGTACTTTTTCCTCAGACCTTTGTCAACCCCCTCACTGTGAATGAAGAGTAAAAAAAACAACAAAGCTTTTTAATTGTGGGGCACATGAGACGTTCCCTGAGAATCTAAATCACACTATGTTTAACAAGAATAATTCAACAACGCAGTAACATCAGCCTCCAGTTAAGTATTGAAAACTTTTACTTGACTAAAATAAGACAGCATTTTGTTATTCTAAAAAACTCTTGAATTCATAATCTAACTCAAGACGGTAAGCAAATGTTTTGCCAGTAAACTGTAGTGTTTACAGTGTTTTATAATATAGCTGGAATATCATTGCTATGCATTAAAATAGAAGCAAAACTTGAACATTTTGCTTCTTTTGTATAAAACCTTGATCTTCAAAGTAGCTTTAATTGAAAGAGTCTGAAGAAGCTGTAAATTGAAATACTACAAATTCTTCTTGAGAAGAATTCTCACCTATCACCCCGTCTGTCATTTCTCTATCTTAATCTCCTGACTTGTTCAGCCAACATCAAAAGACCCCCAAGGTTTTCCATCACCTCTGCCCTCTCACTGAGAGCCTTCAAAACTAAATCCAAATTGATTTGTTCACTCTGTAGGTGGATCAATCACGTTGGACACGTATTTGCACCGATAGTCTCAAGCAGCAATCAGATAATGATTGTTATTTATGCTTAAGAATTATGTTAATATTTTAGTGCATGAAGGATTGTGGTGTTCTACACTCTAGATCACACTTGTTAACAAACCAGGTGTGTTACAGTTGTGGCAGAAAGTGTTAAACCAAGAAGTTAAAATAAGACTTGATGTTATCACCGTCATCTGCATTCAGATGCCAAAGAGCCAAAGCGTTTTTTTTTAAAAACCTTGTGTGCATGCAAAGTATATGACGTGTTAGTGTGTGTGTGTGTGTGTGTGTGTGTGGGGCAGCACAGGTGCAACACTTTGCCGCTAATGGCCCGACTACACTGTGTGTTTTTTTCGGCACAGGTGCACTCTAGTATGTTCACAAACTATGAAGTAAACCACATTGCATGCACAAATATCTAGCACAAACACAAGCAAGCATCACCACACACACACACACACACACACACACACACACACACACACACACACACACACACACACACACACACACACACACACACACACACACACACGCACGCGCACACACACGCCCGCACACACACGAGCGCGCACACACACGAGCGCGCACACACACACACACACACACGAGCGCGCACACACACACACACACACGAGCGCACACACACACACACACACACACCAGCAAACACACACACACACACACACACACACACACACACACACAAAGCAACACACACACACACACACACACACACACACACACACACACACACACACACACACACACACACACACACACAAAATTACAGCTTGTTGTATTAAACTTACTCAAATGAGTCTTCTTGGACACGGCTCCTCCTGAGGAAGACACAAAGTAGTAAGTGAACGAAAAATACTCAACACACCCAGTTTTTCTATACAGCGTTCAGTTGAGTATTTCAGAAACAGATTGAGAAACATGGGGTGTACCCCCTTTAATAAACCCAGTCAAACCCACACACTGGCTTCAGAACTTGATTACAACTTTTTCGTAGTGTAAGTGTTAGAGCCTTGTCGTTGTTTTGTCGTCCTGACAGGGTTAGCAAATATGAAGCAGAGTAGGATTTTCTGGCACAACTTCATCGACTATCAAGGTGCATGGAGAGTGAAAGAGGTCAAAAAGCTCCAACAACACTTGTAGTATGAAGATCAACTTTATTAACAAATTAGACCGACGCGTTTGGGCTTCAGGCCTTCATCAGGGTTAGCAAATAAGATAAGATAAGATAAGATAATTCTTTATTTATCCCACAACGGGGAAATTTACAGTGTTACAGCAGCAAAGAGCAAAGATTGCAAACAGAAAGTGAACACAGTACAATTTAAATAAAAAAATAAAAAATTAAGAATGTACAAAAAAATAGATAGATACTAAAAATAGATTTAAAAAAAATGAAAAATAAAAAATAGATCAGCTGAGCTGCAGTTTTGACAAAAATGTAGTCCGAAGACAGTGCACATAAAGTATAACACGTTATTGCACAAAGTGGATTTGGTAAAAATAATATAACATTAATATAACATTATTATTGCACAATGTCAGAGTGAATTGTCCAGTTGTATGTGTTTTGTGATCTACTGGGAGCAGTCTGGTTAAACAGTCTGACTGCAGCAGGAAGGAAGGACCTGCGGTATCTCTCCTTCGACACCGTGGTAAAAAAATTCTAAAAGTTTTAACAACAAAATTAAAGAACGTTTTTTTTATTAAAGCTTTGTCCTGTTTTTTAATTGTTCTAACCTACTTTTCACAAGAATATATGAATCTAATAGCCCTTTTTACAGTATACAACAGACGAAAGGACATGAAAGTAATTCTTAAATGACCTTGAGCAAAACACCAAGCCCCCACTAACTCTGGTGCGCTCCCTGCGTAGCATTGTGTAGCAGCCCCACTCTGACATCTCTCCTCTAATGGATGTCCGAAAGTCCTGTCTGTGAATGTCTGTATTTCGGGCTTATGTGTGTGAGAAGCATGTCTCTCAATAACAGAGTGTAAAGCAGAATATCCCTCAGGGATTAATCAAGTATGTAAAATAAAAATAAAAATTTAAAAATATTGAGTGCAGAGGGCAATCTTTAAGAATCGTTTAAGTACTGTAGGCCTATGTTCTTGTTATAATCTGCTAGAAAAACAAGAACACTTCCACATCTGCAACCTGCAGGTGAAGACCCGCTATAATGGTAGAAAATCTTAATGATATTTAAAGTGCTGGTGGTTTAAAAAAGGTGAAATCCTGAATTGAAAAATACATGGTCAGCATGTTCCCCTTGGATACAATATAACTAGCATTTAAGGTGATAAACTAAACCTGGGTTCAAGCAAAACTGTGTGGAATATAGTGATAAACTCCTTACTGTGGTAGTTAAGTGTAGCGCGTTCAGTGTAGTCATTTGTTTCTCTTTAGTGTTTTTCCGATGTACAAAAGGCACACAAACATAGGAGACAACCTAATGATAGCAGAGATATTAAATTGAAGGATTCTTCTTCACATTTGTGTTTGAGTATATTTAGTTTTATGTGACTTCTCAGCCCACCCCCCACCCCCACCCCCACACACACACACACACACACACACACACACATATAGATTAAGGTAGAGGAAGGTGGGTGTCTGTGAAGCAATAGGTCCTCGTTTTGTCTGCTTCTTTGACCACAATTGTGAGAAAGTCTAAGCTGCAGTATGTGTGGGTAAATGCGTGAAGGGTTTGAACCAAGGTGTTTATTTCTGGAGTGTGTGTGTGTGTGTGTGTGTGTGTGTGTGTGTTTGAGACAGAGAGGTTTAAAGGTAGGGGAGATAAGAATCAATGGAAGACGTAGTGCTAGCCGGTCTTTGTCTGGCGCCATATCGGGGCCCTCTGTGGTTTCCACTGTTTTCCTCCCATCATCAAATCAGTTTTGCTTCATAAGCAGAAAGCAAGTAATGAAAGCAGCGCATTGCACGCACACACGGAAAACGTAAAGAAATTTCAACACTCAGCACACAAGTGATGCAAAACAAGGACTATTAAGCCAATTGAATGGGTCAAACCATCAGTAAAAGGACTGAATTCATTTTTGACCCAGCCAGGAGAGTGAAGACTTTTTATCCCTTAAGCACTTAACCATCTTTAATTAGTCTGTTAAATTAAAGTATAGCAGATAAAATATTTAGTGATCACATGTAAAATTGTATTTTTATATTAATAACCAAATAACTGCCAACTTCCAGTCTCAAAAGGCTAAAGGAGTTCATTTTCTTCAGTGTCTCACACTTCACACAGCCAGATTACATAATTAAAAGTCACCAATTATTCCAGGGCTAAGCCAGAGTTACATCAGAGATGTGGTCAAATTGATTTTATTTCATTTAAAGAAATCTCCATTTCCAAGAACGGAATAAACTAATGTAACCCACAGCTGTTTCTGCATAAACTTAATGTGTCACAGCATGTATACACTCAATTATCCACACACAAACACAAGCTTTACTATGATCACAGTGTCTCAATCAACACCACTCATCAGTCAATATCTCACTTACGTCTCTACACGCTGATATCTAAGCTCTCTTCTGAAGTGACAGTTGCTGCATTACATAACAACAGTGGAGACCACTGAGCACAGAGAGCAGGCTAACAACAGTGCATTAATAAAAAACAATACAGCACAGAGACAGAGAGAGAGAGAGAGAGAGAGAGAGAGAGAGAGAGAGAGAGAGAGAGAGAAATAGGGCAATATATATAAAATGTAAAATAGTCAACTGTACTTAAAAGCTGGAAAAGTAACTTGTTTATCTTCTGCATACTCTTTAACCTTCATGCTAACAAAACGTGATGCAGAGGTTAAAAGAAAAAGTCCAGAAAGCAAAGAGTTTCTTTCTGGTGGTGGGACAAAAAACAATAAGAACAACATAATATTGACATAAACTTGATAATCAAAACTAAAAAGCAACATATGTCTTACTTCAGTTTAAAGGAGGCCTGGTCAGGCAGATTTGGATGTTAGTGAAGGCTGATGCATGTTGTTGATTATAAATGCAATTAGAATTCAATCTTTTGTGCTAATACAGCTCTCTAATGATCTTTGATTCAATGCTGCTTCACACCTATCATTGAAATCATTTCAAGCAAAAACATATTTTGAAATTTAGTCTTTTTTTTTAAAATTGCTCTAAAATAATAAAACAACAATTTAAAAAAACAAGTGTCACAAAATATTGTCACAGCAAAAAATCAAGATCCAAACATTTAAGATGATTGAAAATTACATTTTGGAGACAGTTGCTGCTTTTATCTTTTTAAATGCTAATCATTTCTAGTTCCTTTATCCTACGTGACACTGAAATCTTAAGGTTGTTGAAATTGTAAGGTTGTTTTTCCACAACCTGAAGATTTCAGTGTCATCTTAGTCTTTGTGACATCTAATAGAAGAAAGTATTAACATATTCATAAACAATGATCATTAGTTTCTTGAGGCCCTTGGCTTCAGAATAAAATAAAGCATATACGGAACATGACCGGGCCCAAGATAAATCTCTGAGGAACACCACGGACAGATTGTATCCATAATAAACAGGGGTCTATTTGATTTGTTCAAGCACGATGAAAAACAATGTGAAGCAGTGCCAGAGAGACAAACACAGGTCTTGAGAAAAAACACCCACAACAGCCACTAAAACCAAGACACTCGTCGCCTTAAGAAGGGCCATCTCAGCAGTATGAGAAACTGCACAACCACACTGAAACTTCACTTTAACCAGACTGAAAAACCTTTACAGCAGTTCCAGTAGCTGATAAGCGAGGTCACATTTTTTTTTAACAAATCCTTTAACCCATAAATACCTATTCCCCCACCACTTGCTTTTAAGTTTTTCCTTTCTGGTAACACTGTCACGTACAATATGTTGCTTTCATGTTGTTCCAGCTTCAGCTGTTTTGTGCAACTTCCTTGAAAAATTCTATCTTTTCAAAGTTTTAGTGGCCGTATCTGTGTACCAGTGAGACTATTGAAACTCAGACAATATATTTGATATTAAAGGACTTTCCTGCCTTTTACCTTGGTTCCTCTTGATTACATTTTAATTCAAATTGTTTAATCCACGACCAACTGAAAGTAAACATGATTAAAACAATTAATCATGTTTTTTTACATTGTTACATTGAGACTTAATGATGTGTCTTCTTGGCTTGTCACTTTTTTAAATCTTCCCTTGTAGTGATAACATAGCCCTAGTATTAACATCACCTCATTAATGGCAATAAAAATGTATTTGACTGAAAAAAGTTTCTTTTTTAAATGTAAAGAAAATCCCCACTGCAAATGGTGCAAGTGTCATATAACTCAACTCAGAATTCAAACCTTTAGCAAAAATAACCTCATTAAACACATCCCTTGATATCATCAGTGTTTATGAACTTGAGTGAGATTTAATATACAGGATTTTTACCTTGAATTTAGCGTTATTCAACTGTAAAACTACGACATTGCAGTTCTTACAGTAATTTGGATACAGGGATGATTACCTCCTCAATTAAACTTTTCAGATTTGCTACCACACAACAGCATAAAGGCGTCTTTGAACGACTTGTGTGTACATGTTTTTGTACCTGACACTTATCTGGCTTAAAGAGAATATAACATTTGCTCAACTTTACATTTGAAATGCAGCACTTGTTACTAAGTATTCTTGAAATGCTTTCTCTCCCTCTCTGCACACCTTCTATTAAACTGACCCATGAGTTGAAAGAAATGTGTTGGGAAAATATTGTCATCCATGATGTAGCAGTGCAGGTAAACCTGTATAAAGCGCTGTCATGCTTTGAGGGGAATGGTGTACAGTGGGTTTCTGTGGCACAAGGACAAGATGTCTTATCCTTAGTGACTGCCAACATTTAGATTTTAGCAGCCGAGAGGCTTTGAATAGACATGCATTGACCAAAAAAAGAAGCAAAAATAAGATCTAATCCCCAAGGATTACTCCGGCTTAATGTTATTCTTACCCACTCACAGCACTTTAACCACACCCCAGAGAGAGGGATGAGGAGGGTTACTGGGGTAATGATGAATGAGAGAGGAAAGAAAGAGGATAAAAGTGATTGCGATGAGAAACACAGAGAAACAGAGTGATTCCCAACAGATCGCAGGTGTACAGTGAGGTAAAGAATCAAAAGGAGGAGACAGGTGGAGTGGGCAACAGAATGGCATGCTGGGAGACAGGAGGGACAAAGTAACACTGAAGAACAGAAATGTCAATCTGAAAGTGTGCTTTTACTATTTACACAATACCTGATTTAACCATAAAGTCACCTGCGGTATGACACTACGGTGATGGATCGTCTTACCTGTTTTGATGGGGGTGTGAGATTGAAGCACGTGGAGCTCCTCATATTCCATAACTCTCCTGTCAGAACACTGGATGGCCCGCGCGCGCGCGTGACACACACACACACACACACACACACACACACACACACACACACACACACAGTCAGATGATTTATTTTGAACTCCACCTGCCACCATTTAACACGGAGGATATTTCATATTCTCCTACCTGTTGTTGTTGTTGTTGTTGTTGTTGTTGTTGTTGCTGCTGTTTGTTTTTTTTCTAGCGCCCGGGTCGGCGCAGGCATTTAAAAACATGCACTGCCATATCGGCCCCTCTCTTCCTTACAGCGGCTCCCCAACGTCAGGCTTCATCTTCTTATTGTTCAAGAGTGTAATCCCTCTTCTTGTGTGGTTGTTTTGAAATAATTTAATTCCCCCCGAGGCAGCAGTCGAAGAGAGGAGAGAGTGCAGCTGGACCGGCAGTGTGCCCCGGTCTCCCCCCCCCCTCCTCCCGCTCTCTGTGAGCCCTGACCGTCCCAGGCTGGAGTTATGTCACCGACTGTTACGTAATAGCAACGGATCGGGTTTTGCTTTGTAGTGCTCAGTTGAGAAATATAATCCCATGTTGCTGCCACAGATTTCCGCCACTAGAAGAGCAACTACAATCCGTAGAGCTGACATTAAAGTCCAGAGCAGGCCTGACCTTTGACTTCAATCCCTAATTAATGGAATACTTAATAAGTGGGGTTTGTTAGAACAACCTGGAGGGCTCTGCACATGCCGCACACGCTGGGAGAAGCTACAGGCTAACGAGGGCTTTGACCACAGTGAAGTAGACTACTTTAGCTACTTACAACTTTGCTTCTCACCTCTGGGCACGTGCTGGTGCCTTATGTACAGATGTATGAAGGCTGCAGTCCTTTTTTGCACTGGTCGCAGGTTCGACTCCTGCTACTGTCTCTCCCCACACTCTCTCTCCCACCATTTGCTGTGTCTCTCAAGCTTTCTGCAATTCTGCAATTCTACAATTCACTTAGCAGACCTTTCATCCAAAGCGACATTGGCATTGCACAACATTGACGGCAGTTCTTGAGAGCTCTAATCAGTATAGAAACCATCTTAAAAGTTGTCGTTATCAAACAAAAAACATCACAACCATCATCATCATCATCAATAATATGGAGACCATCATCATAGAGTTAGTAGGTATTCATGAAAGAGCTGGGTCTTTAGCTTTTTCTTAAAGATGCAGAGACTTAGGACCCTGTTGTGAAGGCTTTCACATCAAATAAAGGCTAAAAACCTGCTTATTTTGTCTGAGCAACAGGCAAAACAATAAAATGTCATAATGAATGCATCCATTTTCTGTCAAATGACCCTTATTAACACAGCAAATAAGGCTTATTCTATTCAGAGATTGACCTACAGTAACATGTCTTTTTTAGGCCAAAAGTGACACTTGTAATGACGCCTCCTTTAGGAGAAAAGTGTTCACTGTCAAGTAACCCACACACACCTCGCAATCCTTGTCAGGCACTACCACTTGCTTGGCTCAAAAGATAACAAATCAAATAAATAACAAAGCTTTTAAATTATTTTTCAAGCATTTTAAGATCATAAAAAACAAAAAAATAAAAAATAGGCCCTGGACACAGCTTCTTCCGGTGGTTTTAACTGAAAGGTTTCAACAACAACCCCCTCCCCCCAACCACTTCCTGAAACCAAACTTGACCACAGGACTCTTCGGAGCAAAAATACAAAATAACTGCTCCTGCATATGCCATCACGAACACACATGCACACACACATACTTTAGACACCAAGGTATCGCTTCCTTTTGCTCTCTACTGAGGTAAAAGATGTGAGGGGCCCCAAGAAGACCACCTGCCCTGCACTATGATCAACCCTTACACTCAGAAACCACACATCAAACCAGACTGACTGAGAACTCAAGTTAAATGCAGTTTAAAGCCTTCAGTGTGGGTATAATTATGACCAATATTTACTCACTCAGCACCACCTGCCAATAAGAAAAACTTTACTCTTCTTAAACAGGATGTGATAGGAATTAACTTTGGAACTAATTGAACACAGGAATGATTCAGGGCTTATTATAACTTTAAAAAAAAGACAAAATAATTACATTAGGGAGTTCCAGAGTGCGCTGTATGTCAAAAACTCAGTGGATCTTACAGACAATATTTGGTTATTGTACATGGACTTGAGCTTGTATAGCTCACTTCTAGTCATCTGACTAGTGAAAGTGCTTTTTACACCACTAGTCACACTCACCAATTCACACACTGATGGCAGAGGCTTCTATGGAAAGTTTCCATCAGTATTAACTAATCCTCACACGGCAGCAGGAGTAACCTGGGGTTGTCTTGACCAAGGACACTTTGATATTTAGGCTGCAGGAGCTGGGGATTGAACCCCTGACCTTGAGTGCAAACAGACTCTCAAACTGAGTCACAGCCCACTGATACTTAAATGATAAGCAGAAACACAAGATGACTGATAAATTCTGGGGTAATCCAGAAGAATTGGGTGCCATGTTAAATGAACATCAACATAAAATCTTTGGAATCTGACAGATAATGTCAAATTAAGAGCAGTTAACCTTTTTTCAGGTGTTTGTTAAACCGATTATGTGCCGACATCTACTAACAGTCAGTTTTTATTTTATTTAAGATGATCTTTTAAGCCTTTTATATTTATTATATATGACAGTTTAAGAAAGACAGGAAATATGGGGGGGTGGGAAGACATTTAACAAAGAGTTTAAGGATTGGAGGTCTACCTGCTACATGAGGCTCCGGCTCTACCAACTGAGCTAAACCAGCGCCCCTACTAACGGCAGTGCGAGATATCAGCAGATGTTACATTGTCCAATGTAAAGATTCAAATAATTCCTCATTCATTTCAGGTGTCTCTCACGAGAACTTTCTTTGTATCATGGTCTGCACTAGCAGCATAAATGTCTGGGGTGTAGACAGTGTTGCTTGTATGGCATACTGTGGCATCCTCTGCTCTCTCTGAACAGGTGAGTGCACTCACTATCCTGGAAATCTAGTGCATCAAATTGGGATTTAAGCTGAAATTATGTGCTGTTGGCTGACATTGGACCTAACATATATCCAACCAGGGTGACACTCAATTTAAACAAAGAAAATCCAAACATCCTCTTAAGAATTGGGAGAATATAAGTATCTGAATGAAGGTTCAGCCTTACATCTAATGTAAGAAATGTTTAAAAAACTAACTGTATATTAAGAGACAAAGGGTGACAAACACTTCTCATTTCTTGTTGCAAACAATTGTATTTACTGACAGAAAAATGTATTATTCATACAATACCAACAGGTGAGGCTTTATTGTAGTAAAGTAAATAGTCCTGCACAGCACATTTTAAAGTCACTTCTAAAAGGCATGTGTTAGAAGAAATAAATACAAAAAAGTTACAATAAATAACCTCTAAAATGTAGTTTCATAAATAATGTTTCGATATGGACTGTTGTTGTGCTAGTAACAGAGCAGAGGTAGGTGATTACAGTACTCTAAACCGCTGTACAGTTTGTTAGTAATAACATATTAGCAAGCAGAGTTGCATGGATAATCCAAAGTCAACAATGTCACATTCAGATAAATGTTTCTCAAATCTTCAATCAACTTCCCACATCCCCAAAAAATACTTCAAAGCAATGACACACTCGCATATTTTCTCTCACACACATTTGTTGTGGTCTCAGCTTGCTGACTGTGTTTGGGTAGGTGGTAGGCCGGTGTGTTCATGTCACCTACCCATTAAGTGGTTGAGATTGATTGACAGAAACAGTGCTGCAGGAGAGAAAACAAGACAGTGACAATACAGACGGGGCCAAGGTCGGGCATGTGACGTAAAGCAAGTTTTCACAATGACATGTTTGAATATGCCCTGTGTGTTTATTGAAGTTGTTGTTACCTGTTGCTTCTGTGTGCAGTTTGGTGCCATCAGGGCTGGTAACTTTACAAGAAACAAACATTTTTCTGCCCTCCTTCTTATCCAGAAAGGATTCCATCACCACAGTGCTTCCCAGTGGGATGGGGCTTTGGAATAAAACAAGTGCTTGTTAGTGCAAAAACTCAAAAGGTGACGACCATAGTCTCACAATATTACGATGTTTGCTTTACTGATGTACCGGTACTTCTATTAAATTAAAGGTCACAGTAAATGGATAGCAAGTTAGGGTACTTGAGAAAAAACTGCGGTTACAACTTAAGAGATCATTGAACTGAATATTTTATTGGAGTGTTAAATCAACTATGTGACATTATTCAATGCACAATACAACGTTAAAGCCTGGTTGGCTACTATGAGAGCTTACTGCACTGCAGGAATGCTGCAATACACTGAAATACTTAGATTAAAGGAACAATGTGTAAGAGATCTACTAAATTAAATCATAAAATGACCTTACTATATCATCAGACATTGAGGAAACATGCTATATTGCAGTGCTGGCTTCTCTGACAATCAAGCAGCAGCAAGTATGTCCTTCGGTCCGGGATGGTCTGTATTTGTTTAGATGTTAGATATTAGATATATAAAATTATATCCTTTCTGTACCTGCGGTAGTTGATGTTGAGGTTGGCTGTCATAGCAGCTCCAGAGAGAGAAGCAAGACACCCTGTGACGGTGTCAATCATAGTGGCTATTGCCCCCCCATGGACATGTCTGGAAAGACACACAGTATAAATGTCAGTTTAGAAGTTTGGTTTTGTGTAATCTAAGTTTTAAACTAGCCAATATGAGGTTTATTTACATTTAGTTTACTATTTAAATTTGATTGGAAGGACAATAGTGTAGAGACAAACAGGACATTGGAGGGAGAAAGAGAGGGGGTGTATGGCATGCAACATTAGTCAATGACTGGAAGGATTCACGCTTTTATGTTACACAGTCTTGTACAGTAGCAGCAGTTATCTTACCCTGGCGGTCCCTCCAGTAGGTGTCCAGCCTGTAAAATGCACACACACTTCTGCTCCTTGATGTTTACGAACAAAACGTATTCAAATCCTGCCCCCGGTTCTCTGATGTTTCGGGTAAAAAGACGAGCCTTTGACTGGATCATTTTACTGAGATACACTCCACCTAACAAAACATAAAAAAAGTAAACAATCAGTAGCTAACCACAAGACACACCTATGGGAGATAAAGAGAGAGGCAGGGTATACAACCTTTTTCTTTTATGATCTTATTATGTCTAAATGAATAATAAAAAGTTAGTGTTCAGATTATCACTTCTAGCAAACAAATAAGTGGAGAAACATTTTCAAATACAAACAAATGAAGTTCTGGTGATGAATCTCTGTAGGTTCATCATTATGAGAAAATCCCCTTTGTGTGATACATTCTTATCATAAAAAACAAAGACTGGGCAGCTTTATATTTTTTCGGATTTCAAACATCTTGTCCAACTTTATTGTAGTGCGGGAAACGTCAGC